AGCACACCATTCAGACTCATGTTTACAATTTCATGCTGAATTAGCTATTCTACTAAGACAACTTATATCATGCTAACTCGAAATTTTACATTAAGATCGTTGCATGTATCGGATGGAAAAAATCAGACAATAAAAGACATGGTTATTAGTTTTCTTGACACTAATCTCTATATGCACTTTATGTTCTAATAAACAGTCTTCCTTATTCCAACCCTGACTTGTCTTCCTTCATTTGAACTTACTCCACCTTGATAATTATCACAACTCATTGTTCCTTATTGCTGCATTCTCTCATCCGGAGCTTCTCATCACATTTTACTCTGTCTACAAGAGCTAGTACGAATTTGATCTAATAAGTTATCATACCTCTGTCCGTTACACTACAGTTGTAGTTGAACATTTTAAAATGTTAAGTATTGTTTATATTCCATATCCAAGTGCCTCTTCGCTCCTCGGTTTCTCTTTTTTTCTTTTTCAGAGTCTTGCTCTGAGGGCACAGTTATCCCGATCAACCAACAAAGGGGAAATAAAGACGAACAAAGAGGAAATAAAGAGGAAACGCGCCAAAATGTCTGCTTTTTCACCTATCCGGGGGAAAAAGTGTGGATTTCCCCATTTTTGTCGCTCCGTCTCTCAAATTTCGCTGAATTGTCTATTTTTCACCTAAATATACGCCAAATTGTCTAATTTTCGCCTAAATACACATCGAATCTTCTCCTTTTTGCCTAAATATACGTCGAACTGTCTACTTTTATTCTAACTTTTCAAACCCCAAAGGTCTTCTATCTTTGCCTTTATTCCTACAACAAGCCACACCAAGACGACAATCCACGGGAAAAATGGTATATGTTTAAATGGGTTTATTGAAAAGGAAAAGCGTTTTATTATACAACGTTATAGCAGACGCTTGGGCACCAGTCGTTATGCATTTTCATTGTAATTGCCAATTCATTGTTATTTGAAAAGATCTGCAAAAGAAGAAACATGTGATGTATTAATAATAAGGCATGTGTATTTAATTGCAAGTTCACTGAAAATCAAACACACTGTCTCAACACTTAAATAGTTTCCCATGTAAGCAAGAAGGTCAGCTAATTTTCAAAATAATGTTTATTGAAAAATAAGTTGAACATAAAACCATTCCACAGATTAGTTTTTTAGCCACACTTGTTCGGCTATTGAGAATAAAAATAATCTTCTTGTGAATTCCTAAGTGTAAAGAATAAAAGAAGTAACAACGATATCTGAATGACATGCTTTGGCACATCCAGATACTTGAAGCTTCACTTACGGTTATGTTCGTTAACACCCCCGACTGTAAATATAGAGCAGTAGGTAAGTCATCACTTTAAGTTAGTACATACCTGTTGTTTTCTTTGATTACGCTTTATTAATTTATCCCAGATGTCGTGAAAATAACCTTGTGTCGCGATATCGTACAGTTTCTCAAAGTCTTTTTCGTTCAAGGATGATGGCGAAAAGCGATTGGTTGATGCACCTGAAGTTTAAATAATAGATATAGGCTACTTCGTATGCAGCCGTAAAGCCGGCATTTCTGAAGCGCTCGTTTTAACGAAGTGCCAAGTAACGTGAAATTACTGACAATCCCGGGTGTCATGAGGTACGACAAAACATATCGCATTCGGGGTTTAGGATAACGTAAGATATACTTAACAACAATAATAATAATATATGCGTGTTGAAATAGAGTATTTTCGGTAATTATGTGTTCAGCGTTCAAGACCGTGTGTTTAGGAACCACTACCACTACACTACACTCCAACCAGAATCAAAGTGAAGTGGGTTGGACACCGAGTCCATTTAGATTGTCGAGCGCCGGAGGTTAGCAAAAGAATGACAAAAGTCCCCCGGGTATTGATAACCTGAAAGATAAATCAAAAAGAAGTCGGCAGAAACTGACCGAGAAATGTATGTGGTGGTTTTAGAAATGTTCGGTTTAATTCTTAACATGCTCAAAATGAGTCTACGTGAAAATTATTTCACAGTCAGACAAAGCGGGATTATAATAATTAACAATGATTTCGCGGTAAGATGCGTAGCAAAAGCTTAACTTATGGCAGTATAAGTATTTTGAGCTAAGAAATAAGAAAAAATCAATATGACAGAAATATTGATCTTGATATCATTTCTGGTTTAAATTATAAAGTCAGTTAACGTTTTTGTCGGCATACTGACCGTATGAGTTGACTTCCAATTGCATGTGCATTAGTAGGCTTACTGAATGAACAAAAGTATTACCGCGGAAAAGAAGAATTCCAGTAAGCTTGGTAAGTCTAGTACGGTTAATTTAGTTGAAGGGAGACTTTCTCTATCTCATTATTCCTTAACTGCGGTAGGACTTCATAAAACTAATAATAAATATGAATAGTTATCAAAAACTCCTTTTAATGCGTAAAAGGTGGTAATTATATGAATTTTAGAGAGATAGCTTGATCCGTCGTGAAACATTTACAGCTGAGAGTGAAGCTTTAGGCTGCCGGTAAAATCGTTCTACACGGTTTACACAAGTTAAGAGGTAAGAATATCCATTTGACTCTGGTAAGAACCAACCAAATCCAGATGAACATGGTCGAAACGGACGTCTGGAGTTTTGAATGAGCCCAAAGACATTTGTTGTGTCTAATCACCTTAGATTACTGACAGCTTACACAGCAGTACGTCAACCCCCTCATGTATTCGTTCATATCAGGACAACAAGACCGTTCTGCTATGAGCTTGGTGGTTGTTCAAACAACTAGATGAGAAAGTGTGCGTAACGTATTGAAGACGTCGAGTCGACGATAACTGGTGCTGAAGATCAGTATCTTTTTTTGAGGCTGAGCACATTTGAAGAGTTCGGTTCCTTGGAAACTGTTTGAGGATGTTGCATGAGACAAGGCTTCTGAGACTACCATGTCCTCCCCGGAAATGTGTTGCGTATCTGAAGTAAACTGCAAAATGTAGTCCAGTTGTCGAGACGTTAGAGAGGAGTACTTGTTTGGAGACGAGCTCAGAGAGAAGGTGTGAAATTTGAGGTCGGTGATCAGAGTGAATTCTCGACCTCCAAAAGATTTTCGAAAGTACCGTACAGAACAATAAATGGTCAGGAATTCTCTGTTGAAAGTGTTGTACCTCGATTCAGTGTCTGTCGACCGCCTCGAGAAGCAAGATATAGGTTGCTGGCTGTTGTTTACTCATCGTTGTAAGACTCCTCCGATAGCTCAATCAGACGTGTCTACCGCGGTACTAGTGGGTGGTTTTATGCCACGGGGGTGTGAGCATAGTTGCTACAGCAAGAATGCCTCTTGGATGTTATCGTCCAAATTGATGGTTTTTGCATTTCCGCAAAGTTGGTTGGTTAAGGGTCTCATGAGGGACGCGCGATTTCGTATAAACTGTCTATAAAAACTTACCAGGCCGTTAAACGTACGTACTTGTTTGACTGTAGTCAGTTCTGGGTAATCCAGAATGACCGGAACTTTGATTTTTAAAAGGCGAATGCATTGAGCATCAGTGGTTTGTCCGAGAAAATCTAAGAAGTCGGTGACATTTCCTAATGTTTACAGTAGTACCATATGTTGGGAGTCGTTCGAAAACAAGTTCCAGATGCTGTGAATGAGATTCTCTGTTCGGACTTGCAGTCCAGCAGTCATTTACCTATGCATGTACAAAGTTGAGACCCATGAATACGTCACTGATGAATCTTTTGAAAGTTTGCGAATCATTTCTTGAGCCCAAAGTCATGCACAAAAGTTCGTAGAGTCTGAACGGGGTGGTAATAGCTGTTTTAGGGATATCGTCTACTGTTATGTGGAAGTAGATCGATTTTCGGAAAAACAGTTGTATTTTTTAAAGTAGCTGTCAAATAGTGAATGTCCGGCAACGATTAACATTCAACAGTGGTTGTCGTATTCAGTCACCGATTATCACCAGTTGGACACCAATCGTTGCTGTTCCTTTTAGGGACCATGTTCATGCTCATAGGCTGTTTGACGGCCGGATGATTTCTAAGTCAATCATATGGTCGAATTCGCTTTTAGCCAACTTCAGCTTTTCAAGAAATAGTCGCAGCAGTTTCGAGAATGCAGATGATCCTGCAGTCATGATGTGTTGTGCAACATTTCTGGTTACACACTGTAGTTCTAATCGCGTTTCGTGAGGCTCAAGTACTTTTCGAGTACCCATTGATAACACGGGTCGATTGTGTTCTTAAGAAAGACTGAGGACAGTCTACAAACAGAAAAGAAAGGTACACAAACAGATAACATAGTATTTCCGCCCACCAACTCCCGTTTGCGCGTATCGATTAGTAAATTATGATGTAGCAGGTCTGTACCGATAAGCGACATAGAAACATCTGCAACAACGAGAATCCAGGAAATGGGTTTGCGTAAACCAACGTTAAGATAAACATATCACTTACCATACATGGCAATCACTTATCAGTTTTCTGCCTGTAAGTTGAAAACTGGTTTGCTAGAAGACAGGTTAATTCTGCGCCAGTATCGAAGAGGTAGCGAATTTCCGCCATAACATCAGCGATGTATAACAGACAGCTATGTTGCCCGTCTACAGTAGGCGCTAACGTGTGCTGGAAGGGAAGTTTCCCAAAACGTTTCTCGTGTCGAGTGGTTTATTCCGTCCAGAACCATTTTAACCATTCGGAGCTACAAACCGCTTAATGAAATAATGGCACATGATACGCCATCGCTTTTCTTTTATTCTAAAATAGAGAAATTACGAGGACACTTAAAAAAATTCACGAGTCCAGGACAAATTACTTGTCAGCTGAACCTCGACTTTAAAGTCGAGGTTCCATAGAATCATCGATGAATGGAATTCACTACTCCAACACGTGATTGAAGTTCCATTTATCTACGCTTTCAAGAGAAAGTTTGATAAACTGAGAGATCACCATTACTAGGACTGACGCAGGCCACATAGGCCCCTATTCTTTCCGAACTGAAACTGATTACGTTTAGGGCTTAGCGCTCTTTCAAATGACAGTACAATATAACCAACTTGTTCTCACTGGGGGTCCAGGTGTATTTTTCAAATTGCTATTGAAGTAAAGCTTATGGTTTGAAATCACTTTCTAGATGGAGAGGATGTATTTTCAAACTGATCTACATCGATGTTATTGTTTTCATGATTTTATACGCATTAATCACTTGTGTATACCGTTTCGCTCTGTCGGTTGAGTGGCAAAGGTTTGATTTCTCTTTTAAGTATCTAAATACATCCAGAACCTTTGAAGATATTATAATATTTACCAGGAGCTTTCAAGGTCTAATCCCAGTTTCTTTCATTCTTGGTTTCTATATCGATAACGTCTTTACAAGGTTTTGGAGACTATTCATGACCATCCCATGGGTGCTTAAGTTCGCCATTTCAATTTCTGGGCATCTTTCTGGAAACTCTGAACGTGCTCGTTTAATGCGACGAACGTGCTTTCGGTACATGATGTCAAGCCTAATTATGACCTCTACACGTCTCAACCTAATTGCCAAGAAGCGTTTCCCTACACCAGAATTCTTCGTCGCAGCAGGTGCGGTTATTAAGCCTTCGAGTTAGGCTTTATTTATGAGAGTTATAGTGTTAACAGTATTATTGCATATTAATATTGCGAACCCTGAGGTGATCGATAAATGTACCGGTTTCTATGCTACGTCTAACTGACTGATTGGTCGAGAAGTGAGTTACTGTAAAAAAAGATTTGTGAAATACGATTATTAATTTCATTCCGAGGTTTATTAACAGCTTGAGAGAGCCCTAAATTACAATCGGTAAAAATTAGAAACAGGTTTTCCGTATACTTCGCTAATAATCTACTGTGGTCTGTTTGGAGCTGACGAGCAGCCTTGTAGGATGAATTATTTCATCCTCGTAACTTTGATTTTCTTTCTTTTAGATTTATCAAGGGGTCAAGCTTTATGAGTTTTAGACAAAGATGATCTGTGTTGGTGGTGGAAATTATATTGAGATAAAAAATCACTTAAAATAAATAGAAATGCATTAGTCCATATGGGATTCAACATTTTTATGTGAATAATCTGACACCTCATTTCTCAGTCTAATTATTGGTTTGTCGGAAATTCGATGCTCGAATTCTCTTAACCGTGGTTAAACTTGTTGTTTAGTCCATAAATTATTGTGATATAGGGTGTATATCGCATCAATGTACCATGATTAGTGTACCACCATTGCGAATTAGCAATATCGAATTTATACAGTTCTCAAATTCTTTAGTTTTCACAAGCTTAGTCTCCTAACTCTTCGTGGACTAGATTTAAATAATTTGCTTTCGTTCGTCAATTGCAACATGTGATCCATTTCTTTTAAATGTAGTCGAATAATTTTTTGTATATACCTGGTGGTTGTTTTGTTTTCCAAGCCTGTTTTTTTTACTCCAGATCCGTAGTTCATTGGAAAGCACTATTCCATATATGACTATTGTTGTTGATTAAAAGAGTGTCGGAAGTGCTGTTTTGAATTTCCTGATTGTTTAAATGACTAAGAAATAACTATGAATGTATATAATCGTTTTCCAAAAATATAGTCTGAGAACTATTCGATATTAGAGTTCTGTTCCTTCATTTAGGAATACTTACAGAAGAAGAGTTGGACATAATTATGAGTGTTAGTCCCATTCATGTCCAACCGTTTGTTCCAATAGTATGGACTACTTCCCTCGTCACTCTCGCCGGAAAAGAAGGCTTTATTACTAATCATCATGCCTTGGTGTCCATCATTGATGTAAGTTGTTTCCAGTTAAAACAGATTCCATGTACAAAAAGTGTATGCATAAATCAGTAAACCTAAAAATAGGCTTTTATGCACATTTCTTGAAAGTATTTATTTGTATAGAGTATGCGAATCTTAGGAAAATCTCTGTAAATACCTAGTCAACACAAAGTACCTCGATCACTAGTCTATATGTTTCTCTGCCGTTTTCGTAATCCAAGTCTTGTGCTGTCTTGTATAATTTTCTTAGGTCTTCAACGTCTCACGTAGACCTTACACACGGCCTTTTATAAAAAGTTTTCATTGTTAGCTCCGTATTTCAAAAGACCTAACCTCCAGCAGTGAAAGTGAAAGCGTGAAGTTTCTACGGCCAACCTTTTCTTACTGCTTCTATTATGACGAGGCAACATCGGCGTAGAGGGTGATTATATGAGGCGAACATCTTACTACCGTCACATTCCAGTATAGTCAGCAGCACGATTTTGCCCTCGGGACTTCAGTTACTGCTTTTAGTCTCACCGTCCCATAACTGATAGTGTGGTGTGTGCTACTGATGCCGACAGATATAAGTAGTATGTATCATCAATTGAGAGTGAAATTCCTGGAGGCAGAAGGTTAAGAAGATAAAAAAAGAGAACAAGAACAAAGGTTGATTGGTGCGGAAACGAAAAAACAATAAAGTCTGAGACGATTGATTGACATTTTGCAAATAAAGTATTTACTGTATGGTTCTCAGATTTTACTAAGATGTTCTGTAATTTTGTGTTCATATACATAGGATTGTCCCCACTTGTGTTCTCGTTTACTACAGTAGGACCTAAAGTATTTTAGACAATATAGCTCGACCGGATCACATGGTATACAGACCTAAAAGTAGCAATTACAGTCGGGACAAAATCAGTATAGCAACAATAAAACTCATGAGTGGTTATATTATTATGGAACCTTTATGCACAATAAATTCACTACTTCTGGCTCATTTGTATGCGAAATGGAGATAGTTAATGGTTTTCATTTACGAACTTAATAGTATCTCAAACAAGTAAGTTTTCAAACTCAGTTAAACCTATTTATTAGATAGATTTACGGGATACACTTTGAGTCACACTGTGTAAGGGCTTTTGATAGTACTCGGTTGCCTAAGTAAGTTCTCGTTCAAACATAGTCAAATGGTTAAAAATCAAACTGATCGTTTAAAAGTATCACTTTTAATCAACATACTCTACTTTGAGGTACAAAGATAACGGGTGAGGCAAAATACAAAAATAGGAAATTGAAGGTTGATTCAAAAAAATTGGTTACCTTAAAATACAATAAACGAAAACAGCTTTTACAGGTATCCACTCTTTATAGTATTAATACAGATTCCTAAAAGTCTGGTGTATTGTACTCTCTGATTTACCGTGCTTAGAAGCTACCGCTCAACTGTCTCAGGTTAATTTGTCGTTATCATACCAAAATCTGAACTGTAGTGGAAACGATAAGAAGCTGGACTAAAACTCACTAGTCATCGACTAAAAACTCGTGTCTCACCGCTCTTTTGATATTCCTTTGAAATTCCTAAACAGAAAACATTTTGACTCGGCAAATAAAAAAAACATTTTGCAACTGTTTTTCTTTAACTATACGAATCCCAATTTGTTGTGTCTGTGGATGCGCTATAAAAACCACAGTTTACTTAGTTTTGTGTTTCACTTTAACTTTAAAGTTGACATCTTTATTTTTAATTATCAGGAAATAAATAACTTTCGTCAGGGTCTGTTGGATATGTTTATGATCGATTTTGTTTGCATCCCACTGGTTTACACACAGGTTGGTTTTTTAATAAACCCTTTCATATAACATCTTCGCACACCGCATAAATGGTACATTTGGTGTTGTTTCTGTACATTTACTTTTCTAACACTACCATATTTTTTTCCACTCTACTTATGTCAGTAACCATTTTGTAAAAAAGTATGATAAATAGTATTTCTATTTCACTTTGTAAGTTTCGAGAATCATAAATGTTCTGTGGAGGCATGGTTGTAGTTTGCTTACTGAATGTCTGCAGTGTTACACTTTTCCGACGTCTGAAATATTTTCTCACAACCAGCTTTGTTCATAATTATGTATTCCATCTAAATAAGAAATAGATACCGTTTCTCCTAAAACACAATTCATCATTTGTGAAAAACACACAAATTACAACAGGGCCTTGACTAACTTCGAATCTGAGCAGTTTGTGGTATTCCATCCAAGGAATGTGTGTGTAACAACAGACCTCAATCCAACGTAATTTTCTTTCATTTTATGACGCCATTCCATAGACTGGCAATTCTAACTTTTAGGCAGTGTCTAATATGAACGCCACTCTAGCCACCAACGTCGGTATTCTAAAAGGGTTCCATTATTCGTATAATAAGCTACACTAGTGTAAAACCACTTTCTGTATTTCCTCAGCTAGTACGCATTCCGCTGCTAACCACCATCCGACCTTCCTCACAATGTTTGTAGCTTAATGGGAATATCGGGTTAATCTTCAGAAAACGTTTATGTACCAAAGGAGACTCGTTAATTGTAGTCCTAAACATCAATGGGAAGATTCAAACAACCAATACAAATAAATTAGTATGAGCGATCATTCAGAAAAAGCAGCAGTAAAACCCAGGAAGCCAGGAAACGTCTACGGCCAAGTTTCACAAGAATGAAATACGAAAGTGATGTACATACAAACTTACATTTGGCCAAAGATTACCCAGATTAATTTAAACTTCTCATCTGTTGCACAACCACTCCGAAAATTCATACGGCTACTCAGATAAGCGAACTTTTTGACTACGAACATAAATTTTAAGCACCTCAATTTCGTGGATATCAATACCAAGGTCGGACTTGGTAATTTCAAATAAGTTGAGGATTGGGTAGGAAGTTAGTAATATATATATATTTCTGGTAGGTCGGTCACTTTTGTGATTAGTTAATATATGATATAGACTATACTGCAGAAGTAAATTTCAGCTAAATAAACAATGTAGATATGTGATTGTCCATATTTTCACTGATATTTGTTCTATGTTCATGTTTTATCACCTGATCGCACTTCTCTAGATTGAAAAGCACATTTTATTAGTTATAAACATCAAATTACTTTTTATGTCTTAATAGGTTGTCACATTGGCAGTATATATTTATTTCATAGCCTCACTTGTTGGTCGTCAATTTATAATCGATAGTTCGCGAACAAATTCACAAGATCTCTATTTTCCTTTCTTCATGTTCCTAGAGTTCATAGTGTATATGGGATTGTTAAAGGTAAGCGATATCATAATTCTGGTCATATACTATAATTACTGTTACATAGAATCAGTTAAGCGGGTTCACTAACTACTTCCTTATGTACATTCCTTCCTTCCTTACTTTACTCTAACTTACTTAACTAATTACTTACCTACATAGTTACTTGTCACTTTTGTACCTGACACTTTTATTTTCTGTCTTCCTCAGAGGCTGGTATTCTGATTCTTAACGTTCACGTCGCTATCGTTAGTGGGTACAGAGCACTGGATGACATTCATCGTAATCCCCTCCTTTGTTTTAAAGGATGCTTTGATGATCCTGCATCCATAAGATTCCTATCCCGCAAGTGCTTTGCGTGTTTCTTTGAACAGAATCAGTGGAACTCCTTGTGTGTGCGAAGCATTTTCTTCATGACCAAATCACAACAGCACATCTCCTGAAGTTACTCTTTCCTGTCGATCTTGCCTCCGATTGGTTTTACTTATTACAAGCATCACCAGGTTTTTCGTTTCCCCGTCTATTTGACTGGTCCTGCCACATTGTGTGGACTTTTTGTGTACCTATGTCAATTGTTGCGCTGGTTTTCAGAAGGAGCATCGGCCTAGAAACTTCCGAAGAGTCTTGGTTTTCACCATAAGGCGTCAAAGTGAATGAAAATCCTTCAACTCGGAGAACAGAGTTTAAATGGTTCAAATTGTTTCTTCTGGTTAGCGTTTTTTATGAAGGTTTTCTATGAGATGGGGTTGCTGGTCCCTTGCCCAACCCTCCTTTATCCGGACTTGGGACGCGCAGTTATTTATTTATTTGAACACAAATGTTGGTGCAAGGGGGGAACAAAGGTACATCCAGAAAGAATTCTTTCAGAAGTTGCGGCCACTTTTTATGAAGAAAGTAAAAAAAGGTTACAACAGGATCGCCACTGGCTTCTATTCTGAGCCATATCTGATAACGTCTCTAGCCACTGTGTTGCACCATCTCTAGCACCCCAACCAGGGAGTCGTGAAGAACCAACACAAGCCAGCCCTTTGCAGCTTTCTTTCACTCCACGACACCATATCATACAATGACCACCTCTCCGCTTTTTCCAACCAGTCCCAGAGTCGGCAAATAATGCACGACGTGGAATTCTCTGGGACGACATTCGTAGAACATGTCCAAGCCACTGAAGTTGATGTTTCAAGATGATGAAACCAATTGAACTATCGTCTGTGCGCCCGAACATACGATGCCGAACCTCTTCATTACTGACATGGTGTTGCCACTGGATATCAACAATCCGTCGGAGACAACATCCTCAACTTGGAGAGGCCAGGTTTCACAAGCATAGGGCAAAACTGCTCTCACCGACGCGTTATAGATCCGACCGTTTACAGTCAGACTAACGTCACGAAGGCGCCAAAGATGGCCCAGATTGGAATACACCGCTCTGGCTTTCACCAAACGTGAATCGGTCTCATCACTCACACCACCACTAGCACTTATTCAGCTACCCAGATACACGAACTTCTCGACTTCTTCTATCTGTTCAACACCCAAAGTGAGTACAGGATTAAAATCCTGCCAGTCTTGTAGAAGTATTTTGCACTTCGAAGGTGCGAAGCACATACCATACCTACGGACGGATTGCATGGCTTCGGTATTATGGCATAGTAAGACAATATCATCCTGGTTGGGCAGTAATCTATGACAGCTCCAAACGTTGTTTCCCTGTTTAACCAGTTTGTAAATACACTAATATATTGATTAATTTACTCAGGAAATTCACATACGAAAGTATTAGTTTTTCATACATGAAGTAATAAGTGGTATACTGTAAAGCTAGATATATTCGAAATTGATAGACAGAGACCAGTTAGTTTTAGCAATATAGTTTAGTCTATATGTGAGCTGCTTTCCCTCTTCATACCTAGTTGAGTCACAATTTTACTTCCGAGAACTAAGGACTTATTTCAGTATGATTTTTCAAAGTATAGTTGTAAAGGCTCTCCTTGGCATAATTCTACTATCCCTTTGAGATACATTGTTATTCAGTGAAACATTTAATAGCCCTTAAATTTAGTTATCACGTGCTCTTTCTTGGATCGCTTATAGGCTGACCTCTGTTTCTGACCGATATTAAGTATCGAACAAACGGAAACTAAAATGAAGTGTAATTAGTGATCGTAATTCCATTAACATGACTCATTCTGATTTTGCCATCCAGCACTTATTTTGCATGTAATAAATGGTCTTCTCGCCTGTTGTACATATCTATACTGTTCATTTCAATTATAGCCGTGTTGATTACCGATAACTTTAAGTATATATGATGATAAGGAAGACAGCAGTTATTACCAGTCACTTGTACCCCCCGATAAAAAAACTGTTGGTAAGTCACTGTCTCTATATAAGTAAATAGGTCTGCTCGAACTACCGGTTTAAAAAACATTTATGACGTCCCTTCACTTCATTTTGGGTTGTCTTATCAAGTAGGAGTCACTTGAATGGCGTGAGTTATTATCAGTTTGTCTTTAAGTGATCTTTATCACTATGAAATTAGTTCTTATAAATATTTTGTTAAACCAAAACAGTTAGTGGCTTGACAGTTCTAACCGAAAAAATATAATTTGTAATGGTTTGGATTCTATTCTATATAACCGAACAAAGTTTCCATCACATTACATGGCCCTGAATGCCCTGGTACGGTCGAGGGCGGGGAGAGTCAGCTCTCCCTCTCGAAATGCTCTCACGTGGCCGTGCGTATAAAACCACTTCTAGGGAAGTCCCACTCATTGCCTTCTCACAGCGAGGGTGTTCTTTACGAAATTAAGAGGACGAAAAGCGGATGCCCGGCGCTTTAACCGGGTTGGTGGAAATGGAGGTTCCACTTAGGGGACTTGGAAACCCCTGATTCCAAACCAATGGTGCACATGAACTCCAGGATCTTGAGGGAACAAATGGCGTATGAACCAATTATTGGTTACCGGCTACCATGGGACTGCGTTTCCTGATGTTGCTCCACTGCCTTATGGATCAGACCATTAGGTCGAAGGCTCCGGGTGTGCCCACCCCTTAAAAACCACCTTCTTCGGTCTGAGCACCCAGTCAGTATCACAGTCCACACACAAATCAAGTGACTTGCGTGGCTCATATGTATTCGGTGCCGATTTGTACCAATATTTATATGTTCAAATAAATAAATAAACAAACGGAGCAGATGACGAATTAAATTTGTCTTGAGCAAAATATAACTTTTCAGTAAACAGCTGTGGCAAATAATCAGTAATCTGCTTTCCTGAATATGGAATCCAAAGCAGAACTGTATGCACCATTAGAGCCGTAGTTGACGTACGTAAAGGAACAACAAAGGTACTTTCTGACCCCTGAAAATTTAGTTGCGTCAAGGTGATTTCTTCTGTGGATTCAGTGAAGAAGCACCCCTTCTTCATTTCCATTGGATTTTATCTTCATTGTTTTGCGCCAACATGGCCGGTGTGCCAAATTTCCAGATCTCAGAGATGAATTTTATAATCTATAGACTGCGTAGTTAAGGCCGAGGTAACTTCAGTGACAGTGAAATTTCCTTACCCTATTTGACTATTATTTTAGATCATGAATGATTGTTAGTTCTCGCATACACACTGCACCCTGGGTTCTCTCATGTCCCTCGTTGCGGTCTGTTGTCACAGGGATAAAAAACATTTGAAATGAGAGAAGGTAAATGGAAATCAAAAAGGAAATGGTAAGAGTGACGAGATTTCCGCGTTAGTCTCTCTCCTATTTAAAACACACGGACAAACGGTGATGTTACGGCTTTTAAAGTGGAAAGATATCTTGTTTGTTTCCAAGACACTATCAGATTGTTGAATCGCCTAGTTAAACACCGAAATGTTTTTTGACATCCGAGTATAAGCTACGGAAAGTTGTACAAAACTTTTACTTTCCACTGGTCTTTTTGAGGTTGCTTCGGGAATATTTTGTAACTGTAGCTTTACCAGGTTCTATTGAACTAGGTTAAAATGAAATATAAAAGTGCCTAATACCTGTTTCAGGGACCGATATAATAGATAATAAGTTATAAGTCTGATAATAAGGCCTTAATGTTATAAATTCATAAATCACCAACAAAATATATCTAACAATCACTTTGATTTTATTCATTAATAATGTATTTATCATGAGGATAAAGGTTTTCCACTCAACCCTCAGCAAAATAATGCATGCTAACTGTCAAATGATCCACAAATTTCACCACCCACTGATTTATCATTTTCTCATGAACATCATTCAACTTTGTCATAAGCATGCTTCTTGACATAACACTTTCATCATCTAACTTTTCAGGGATTGATCTTGTACAATGAGATTGTCTTGTTGACTTGGAATATTCTGATGATATAGTTCTGTTTTGTGAACATGTTGACAAAATGCAGTCTTGTGACCACCTTGAGCGACAATGCAAGCATTTTTGGGGTGCGGTTCTCTCCCTCCAGATGTAAAATGTTACTTCAGGATTGGCTTATGTCGCCCCCTGAATTAGTGATAGGGAATAAAGTAGTTGGGCATATCGACCACTTCAATTATCTTGGGAATCTCATCAATGCCGATGTCTGACAAAATCTCAGCAAGCATTCAGAGGGCTCGATTGACTTTTATCAACCTGTTATGTAGGCGAGATGTTCGTCCGTTTGCTACGCAGCAATTCGCTTCAATCTGCTTAATGGATGTGAAACATGGCTATTAAGTGTTGGGGATATTCGTAGGTTACTTATATTCGACCATAGGTGTTTACAAAGTACTTCTGGTGTATTTTGGGACCACGGATTAAGCAATACCTGGGTTAGGAGTAGAGTACTAGGTAGAAATGGGAAATCGATTGGTAAGGTAGTAAATCTTCACTAACTGAGGTGGTTGAGACAGGTGTTATGTATGCTTGACCTCTGCCTACCTCGATAGGTGGTTTCCTGGTGTAAGAGTAGGCTGAAAGCAAGCTAGTGGTGGCCAAACTAAAGCATGCCGTCAGTCTATGAAGTCACAAACAATTGGACCACCTGTTGGAGGTCCGCGTGATTATCGTAACCGATGGTAACAGACTTTGGATAACATGACTGAAAATTGTTTTCAATGGTGCAGGTGTATCTATTTTTTGTCTTCCCTCAGATTCTGAAATCCTTATAACTTCTTCGCTTTCATTTCGCTGATTTATATTTTCTACTTGAGTTATATCTTCGATGCCAATGCTTTCGTATTACGACTGGCACTGTCACTACTTCTATCATCCTGGAATTTGGCCAAATGATCCAGTAATTTCCGTAACCACTGATTTCCCAGTTTTTCATGAATATTATTTTTTCAGACACTGATTTTTTTATTAAAAAAGACGACTAGTTTGTATCACTGCTCTAAGTAATTTTCATTATAAATTTAGTCATATAATTACTAAACTTTATTGTTTATATTATCTACATAAAATCGAAAATTCTATTGTTATTTTTAAGTCCGAAGGAAATATTTTAAACTCATCTTGTTAGAAAACTTGCATGTGCCTCTATGCCTCAGTAAATAGTGAATCATTTATTTGTTTTTCTTCAATGAGTTTGTTTAGATGCGTTTTTATTTGAACAGAGCAGTAGAAAAAGTGTGTAGTACCCCTTCAGTATCAATAGTGGTAAACTGATCAATTGTTTTCTTAACACTTTTGTTCCACATGATATACTACATTGCTTGCTACGGTATGTAAACAATTATGTTGAAAATGTCAATTTTACATGTCTAATGAATAAGCTAACTTTTGGTGTGTAATTCCTTTGTTATTTAATTAAACTAACTTTTTTCAAGCGTTTTATGATGTTCATTTTCCATGGCATCAATCTGTTTTATTCTTCCTACATCCTGCCATATTTGATCTGCAACATAATTTTTCAACTAGAATAATCTTAACTGCTTGTATTAAGTACTGTCGCGTTATTGTGCAGATTTAGGTTGGTTTTCTATTAAATTTTCTCTACAGAAATTAAGAGTTTGTTCCTCTTCTTTTGTAAAGGTTGCCGAAACACTGGTTAATCCTATGGGGGAAAATGACGAAGATATTGATATTAATGAGGTGATAGACTTTAATTGGAAAGTAAGTATTAAATACGAAGTGTTTGACTTCATTCAGCTTTTGTGTATTTATGTTATTTGATCAACATGATAACCTTCAGTCCCGATCACTACGAACTCTTATTTCATCAGCTACGTAGATGGTTATGGTCATCTACAACTAGTCGTAAAGCTTACCTAATGACAGTTAGTCCAGAGTCGACTAATCACGAATGGTTTTATCGTTCTTATTCGGGAAGTTACTAGATACAGAACATACAACATAAAAGATTTATTAGTAATTGAGTGTGAACTTTCGATGTGCAATAGTTAGTGTTTAAGAATGCTTCTTAACCTTGTTTAGTAACTCTTGTGACTTATTTATTTGTTTAAGTGTTCATATTTCTCCCAGAAATATCTTTAATTTAGATGTATGTAGCTCATAATATCTGTTATACGAATTTGTACTTGGTTTCCTGTTACTTTTTGTTTTATAAGTTTCTTATTTCCCAAAATCCATATATCCGTTCAATCTGTGTTAATATCATGGATTTTTATTCGACAAATACAAATTTAGTGCTAACAAGACATTTTTGATGTTTACCTAGACTGGATGGTGTATTGTCGATGGAATGAAAACAAGCGCTCCAGCTATTGTACGAGATTTCCACTGGCAACAATCCGTCATCGAATTACCCCACACACAGGAATCCAAACGACTAGCTTCTCGCCCATTTAGAGGATCGACGTATAATATAAAGTAAAACAGTATTTCTCAAAACATTTCTTTATATATATATATATATATATATATATATATATATATATATATATCTTCAAAATGTCAGGAGGCACTGAGCGACGAGAAGCACTATCACAAAAAAACACATCCTGAATGGCATCTTGGGCAAGATTTCAGAAAGGAAGAACAAGACAGCAATCAACGACAACTAAAAATGAACAGCGAAATCCAAGACACAAGTTGAATACACAGAAGCAAACAAGCATGTGAAGGAGAGCGTTAGAGCAAACAAGCAGAAATACATGGAAAGACAGAGGAACAGATGGGTGATACACTTAGAGCAACTTCTAAATAGACCAGATCCATTGAAAGCATTTGATGGTATGGATAGGAGAACCTTATGAAACCTTCTTCGACACTATGGTGTACCTGAGGTCGCCAACATCATACGGAATTCGTACGAAGGACTACACTGCAAAGTCGTGCATGGTGGACAGCTGACAGACACATTCCAAGTGAAGATCAGTGTCAGGCAAGGCTGCTCACTCTCTCCCCTTCTCTTTCTTCTGGTGGTTGACTGGATTATGGAGACCTGAACAACTGATAGAAAGCACGGACAGCTCAGAGCCAATTAGACGACTTGCACTTCGCAGATGACCTAGCTCTTCTACCCCACACAAACCAACAAATGCAGATAAGGATAACCAGAGTGGCAGAAGTCTCTGGATCAGTAGAGCTCAACGTGCACAATAGAAAATCAAGATCCTTAAATACAACACGGAGAACACCAACCCAATCACATTTGAAGGAGAAGCTCTGCGAGAGGTGGAGACTTTCATACATCTGGACAGTATCATCGATGAACAAGAAGGATCTGATGCAGACGTGAAGATGAGGATTGGCAAAGCAAGGGCAGCATTCCTTCAGTCGAGGATCACCTGGAATTAAAAACAACTGTCACCCGAGACCGAAGTCATAATCGTCAATACAAACGTCAAGAAATTTCTATTGTGCAGAGCTGAGACTTAGAGAACTACTACAATCAATATGAAAAGTGTACAGGTTTTTATAAACAGCTATCTACGCAAGATATTCGGCGTCCATTGACCATCAGCAAGAACCTACTGTGGCAGGGAACAAACCAGTTCCGACTGAAGAGGAAAGTAGGAAAAGTCACTGGAAGTGGATGGAACACACATTAAAGAAATCATCAAACTGCATTGCGAGGCAAGCACTAACTTGGAATTTCGAGGGGAAAAGAAAAAGAGGAGGACCAAGGTACATATTACGTTGAGAATCGAAAGCAAACATCAAAAGAATGAATAGCAACTGGAAAGTATTGCTCAGGACGGAGTTTGATAGAGAATGGTAGTCGGTTGCGCATGCTCCTCATCGAGGTTTAACAGGCGTAAGAAAGTAATATTTGTTTACATATGATTATAAAAAAGCTTCTGTGTTTTCATAATCAGTTTTTGTATAACTTTTTCAACCTGTGTTACTTTATTGCTACGTTCAAATACCTACTATGGTTCATATTTTTCAATGGTTTCATTGCTCTTTGTCTCCATATTGCCTGCATTTATATACCTCTTTTGTTTATCTTGTAGCTTTCCTTTCACTTCTGATATGATCGGATCTGCGTTATCTTTATCACTAATTGGTCATTCACAAGTAAGTTGGAAATTAAATCTGTCGTCCATTATTCAATTACTTTGTTGTAATTTGTTGAGTGAGTTTTTTTGCGATAAGTATTTCTATTTGTTTATATGTTAGAGTTAAATAATAACATAACAAGCTGTATCCATTTTGAGATGGTGGAGAAGATTTGTAGCTCAGGTGGATGATTTTGGTGGTGTTTTGTTCTCTGAGCTGAGAACAAAACACCACCAAAAGCTGTATCCATCACTGACAGGATTTTTGAAGACATATTTATTAAAAAAGACAGCTGTCAGTTTAACTATCTTCGAAAAAGACGGAGTTATGTTCTGTGATTAGCTCAGAAGATTGTAACAATATGTTGAATACTTCGATAAGGAACTCAGCTAATATCCGGCTACCTTACGACTTCCAAAAATCATGAATATCAAATCGAAATAAGCTTTCGATTAGGGAGAATCAGGTTGTTTGCAGACCATCGCTTAGATGTATCAATCAAATACTCACTCTTCGCAAATGCATACTTACCGGCGGTCTGCTATAGTTACATTTTTGAACTGAAGGCGGATTTAGACTACGTAGACTGAGAGGTTTTGTGGCAGTTTATCGTTGAAAGGTGTACCAAAAGAACACACTCATTCTTCGCGAATTCTATTTTTCGTATGATCTTTTTGTTGTAACGGGTAGATTGCAGTTTAGATGGAGCAGTGTTTTATTGATCGATTCAGTGACACGGAAAACACGTTTGGACGACCTAGAGACCCGATTGGCCCTGCTCCTCTGTATATCCCAGCCAGTTGAGTCCAGAACGCAAGTCTTAGCCTCCGAGATATGAATCATTATATTTCAGACATACTCTATTTATATACCAAACAAACAAACCACATCGTACCATAAAATAGAAAACAACATTTACACAATATTTAACAAGTGAAACAAATATCGACCAATAGGGAGTGTCCATTTAAAGTCCAAGGTCACCGTTGGACTTAACATGATAATTATTGGTATATTCCTCTGCATACCTAACACTTTTTTGCGTCTTTGATACTACCCTTATGATGTTGCCAAAAAATAATGGACATAAAATTTTACTATCGTTATAGTAAACACAATCAACAGTCCTATTTATCCAGTTACCTTTTCGGTTGGCACTATATGACCATCATTTGGGGCTACTATAACACATTTCCCAAATCTTCCAGTTCCTATTAATAACAACTTTTCCTTCGACTGTACACTTCAGGGGAACGTTTCGTTCATGTAGACACCTAACTTGAACTTAGCATACAAATACTCACACAACTCGAAACGGCATGTGTTTTACCATGTTGTGGAGTGAAACAGATAAATATACCTATTTGTAAAGGATTATTAACTAAAAACTTCTATACAACTTTTCCGTAGAGATTGGCGTTTATATCCAATAAAATCTAATCTTTTATTTGTACATAGTTTCATTTCTTCTAATTTCTTTTAGGATTTAACGACTGCGCGTCATTTAACTCGAAATAGTACCATAAATATTCCTACTAGGTTGATCCCATCTGAGAGCGTTGCTCCCAGCGAAACTGATAATACGTCGAGATTGAATGTTTTGGATGATCATACGGCTATGGATGCTGGGTTTTTAAGTGTTACTCCTAATACTCCCGCAGTAAACCGTCTTCTTCATGAACCAATAGAGGAGGAAGATGAAGAACGTGAAGATGACGATCAGTCTTATAGCAGGTCAAAAAGAACGATGATAATATGAATCTTGTAAGCTTACATTAATAAATAAGACCTGATATTTGTGTCATCTTATTAATAAGGTATTTATGTCTTACATGTTTCACTCGAAATCTTACCTGTAATCTCATGATGTAATTCTTATTTTATTGTGCTTAACTGATCGAATATTTACGTAATGTGAACGTTTATGCTATTCAGTATTTAGGTTATGATTACAGAAAAACATACACGTAGCTTATATCTATGGGCTTTCAGCTGTCTAGACATTGTAACAATCCTATTATTTATATTTATTATAGCCAATGGGTTTTTTTATCAACCTCATAAATTACGTTCATATCTAATTCAAATGAAAACATTATACTGACCAACTGTACTCATTGAAAGAATGACAGTGCGTCAGTTGTTTATTCCTGAAATACTTAGTTTAAACGCCAGATCGCTCATGGAAAAAAGATTACTTTCAATTTCTTCTGTATCTAAATACATGTCACAATTCTGGCATAATTAATCATCTGTCAAGTACGAGTTTACTGTGCAGTGATTCGCTTTGCCCCACTTTATGGGTGTGAAATATGGCCATTAAGAATATACAACTTTAGTGGGTCACTAGTATCCGATCATGGGTGTCTCAAAGCATTGCTCTTGTGTTTTGGGATCACCGAGCGAGCAGTTCAAAGAATAAGTACAGAGTACTATGTAAAGATGGCGAATCTGTTGATGAGTTAGTGAATCTTCATTCACTGATGTAGTTGGGACATGGGTTACATATGCATATCCCTCCTCCTCTACGCGCGATGTTGTCTGGTGTCAATTGTTATTCACCTTATTATTCCTAAAAAAACGACTTGGATTGAATGCAGATATATTCCAAAATGAAATAGAAAGTCAATTAAGTTATAATCCAGAGTCCTCAGCTCATTCGCTAGCGCTGATTAATTCATTTTCATTGACAATTAGGATAAGTCACGTGCACATTACCTGGTTGGGGCCCGCGTGATTATCGTCATAAGTGGCTAGAGACTTTGGCTGGCATAGCTGAAAATCGTTCTCAATAGTTCAATTAATATGACGGGTAGTTTGAAATATTTCCCCCTTCATGTATACTACGATAACGAGAATAGTCATTTTATATCAGATCCGGGATTCACGACCCAAAATAGGAAATCAGATTATCACTAGATAGTACTTTATTTGACACAGTTACAAATAGTCACACTTAGTGAGTTCGGAGAAGAAATCGATAACAGGGAAGTAATTTTATCTCGCTGTGTTAGTGCGGTTCGGCAACTTGAAAAGATGCTCATGTGTTTCACATCCCAGTTCAGAAGCCTATCATTCAGTACCGTCTCAATGCTATCTTTTAGTGCAAGACAAAAGTTCACATTCGACTCAGTAGTTTAAGCGCTCAGCTTCCAACTGCTAACTAGCAAGTTTAAGTCCCTCTTCAATAAATGTCTTAATAGATCTCTCTAAAAGTACGTAATGTAAGTATATAATTGGTGGTTACTTTGAGAAACAACAAAATATGTTAATTTCCTGTCACTGTGTTAATCTAAGACATGCGGACTTAGATCGATACATACGCCAGGATCTGCGTTGATAAATGACTGGTTTGGTTCCCTCCTTATTTTAAATTCGGAATCGGAGAGAAACAAATCGTCCTTATCTGATGGTTCTTGGTAGATATCGTACTTGAGGTAATATTTATCACAGTATGAAGTACACTAAGAAGCAAGCAGTTATTTTATTTCCAGTAGTTAATCCGCATCCACGATGTCTGGCTTACATGTTAGTGTTTTCTGTAGATTTTTTTGATTACACACCTGTTGATGTTTTTCATAATTGCAATAGCCTTCAGTCAACCTACACTCCATAGTTATAACATATATTATACACAGATTAGTAATGCATTTTGTATATCCCTTTATTAGTAAATGTAAAGTAAATTTGCTTTTCGATTAAGAACAAGTGACGAACTGATATTCCGGCTTTTTTATCGTTGAAGCGAGTCCTGTTGATCGCTCTCTTAAAACGTATTAGTTACGCCGTTCATTCCACACAATTATACACGAGGTATTTTTGTCACAAACACTAATTGTTCATTTGCTCGTTACTGACGTTTGTCCTATTACTGTAAGTGTATTTTTGTTTATAAACTCTTATAGCAAAAATGTTTTTGTCTATTCGTTTTCAGTCCTCTCAAAAAAGATATTTTGCATGTTTAGGAAATTGTACACTTTGTCTACGAGAGGGGGGATATGATATTTATTGTATTCGGGTTTTCTTCATATTTATGGCAAGTTTATTATTAATCAGGATGCTGACCAACTGCGCATTCATGTAGTCTATGTTTTATATCAATTGCAATTCTGACATTTGTTCATAAAGTTAAATTTTCTGCAACATAATGTTCTCAGCTAAGATATAGATATCAGGCTTTAACAGCCTTAATTCGAATACACAGATACTTAATTAGAATGAATCACCTCTACACAGCTTATCCACGTGTGTTTCTGAAAGCTTTGCTGATCACATCACGAAATCCACAAAAGAAACAATCAAATGACTTGACTAATTCTCAAAATGCACGTAAAAATACATGGATTACCTTTTTACAACCAATTTGGACTAGTGAGGTGAATATCAGTTACATATGCAAACGTGATAAATTTCAGAAAGCATTTGTATTCATACCTAATTAATTCGATTCACATAAGGTAGATAAGATTCATTCTGTGATCTATCTTCTTAAAATCACAAAATAACGTTTACTTTTTTCAGGTACGATTGTATTTGACAATAGTACATGAGTTGTGTTCAAATGTGACCTCAAATTTACTACTTATGAATAGATTATATTTTGTAGTATAATAATGGAATCCTCTGAGAGTATTCAGAGCGCATGGATGTATTACCTTATAATTTATGTTCTCGAAGTATTATAAGGTTCTCTGAATGCAAGGTTTATGCTGTAACTTTCTCGAAGTGAAAAAGACTCGTTCAAATGAAGAACATTGTATATGCTAATATAATTAGCATATATCTATCTATTCAGTAACTCAGAGTACATATTTAGGCAGCAGAACAAGTTTAATTGTGATACTTTATCAACCTCAATAACAAAGATAACACGAAATTATTATGCAAATTCATCAGAGTCAATTAGTCGTGTTTGCAACGAAATGGTAAAACAATAGCATTAGTTTCTTATATGTTTTACTAACCAGAAAATCAGATGGAATGCTGAGAACTGACCTACTTAGGCTAATATACTTATTTTTAGAGTCTTTTCCCATGGCAATCAAAAGGAATTTAAGTGCTTGGTTAATTGTTTTAAAGATGTCATTGAGATAGAAGTTAAGACTATATATTTCAAAACAATACATACCTGAAGGAAAAACTAGTATGTGTTGGCAGCGACAAGAAGCCTTTTTTTAAACGCACAGTGAAATCGCGAGGTCTAAGATACGCGCTGAGAAAAGCATTCAATTCTGTAAGGCGGCTCTCTCGTTGTTTAGTTATTCAATTTGAATTTAGTAAAATGTAGATATGGATAATATATATTTTACTTATATTTCAAAAAGCAGAAAAGTTGTATCGCTACTCAGTGGAATATAACAAAAATTTATTTATTATTAACTCTCTACCCTATGCTCAATTCATTTGAAACTATCAAGCTCAACCTTGGTAAGGATACCTATAGATAGGGATGTTTTGTAATGTCGATGTGCATATATCAGTCCAACTGTCCTTCTGGATATCTAGTGAGAGCAATCCATCACCCCTCACAGTTGTGTGCATGACAAAGCACAGTAAGGTGCACTACAATGCACTCTTAGTCAATACTGTACATCACATTCCGTGTAATATTCGGAGTTTGATGTCAAATCCTAATTAGCTTTCCCTATCTCCAGATGTTGGCTCCTGTACAACGAATGTCATAGGAATGTTTGGATAACGTTTGCACGATTTTTCATCTATTTTGCTATGTAACGATAACAGATTGTTAATCCAAAGTTAGACCCACATTTACTGACTTTCGTCTTGATTATTACTACATGATTTTGAGTAGCTACACTGTTCCTCCATCTTTATTCAAGCGTAATCATTACCGATTACTAAGTGGTCTCTAAGTACGAACTCCCACCCACTTGCTTTGCACCTTCATTTTCATTGTATCAGTTCCTTCCTAGTTATTATGTTCATCTTTTGATATTGATATTATAGTCAAAAGTAAATGTGTATTGGTGTCGGATCATGATGAAGAGCTAAGTAAAAAAAACTCCGAAATCGTAATTTCTATTCCCAAGATTTAAAGAAAAATAACCAAAAATGTAGCCCATGCTAAGTAGGATCAGTACTCAATTCGCCTGACAATGATTACCCAATTTTTTCCGAATAAAAACTTCAATTACTACAAGGCCATATTGCCACCAAAACCAGAAAATGACGATCATGTTGATCGGAAAACTTGACAGAACATAAATGAGGCACTTCTACAAGTCATAACAGTTCCTTGTCTAGACATCACAAATAAAAGAGTGAGCGTATTTCTGGAATTCTGAAACGAGCGGTATTTTTTGGCAAGTAAGATTATACAACTTTTCGAAAAGCATCGTGATACATTCTTCCCACGCTAAACAGGGATGCGGAATATCTACACGTGCATTTACATTACAATACTAGGTATTTTATATGGACACGGCCAAATATCTGGTACACTAAACATCTTTTTCATTGAGTATGTTTTAGGATGGCTTCAAAGGCTAGTCGGTAAGCTTACAACGGTTTGAATGAGACATTATTCACATGTGATAGGGGAATACTTGTTATTCATCTAATAATAGCCTATAATTAAATGATTGACCGTAGGTAGGATTATGCTTCAATATAACTGTCTTTTGAAGCAACTATTAAGAGAATTGAAACAGCTTTTAGACTTATTAAGGTTTTTCTTATTTTTAAAGGCCAATCAGAAGGTCCCTAAGTATCGGTTAGTTTAGGCAGTTTCTTACATTTACTGCCTTTTTAGATTGTCAGGTACCACCAGTCCGTAATCCCAGGGTGAAAAGATAAGAAATTGTCACAATGTTTTATTTAAAATCACTAGGACATCTGTAAGCAAAACATAACTAAAATGATATTTCATTTAGCTTGCGATGTATACTGTCTAGGTCTTTAAAATAACGAACAGTTTTTGTGCGGAGTTCCATTGTCGCATCTTCATCAACAACAAATATAGCTTTCTTATGATGCTTAAGAAGTGATTAGTCCATTAAAATAGAAATAGCTTACCTGGAAAGCAGATACTGTCCACATATGACTTACTCCCTCTTCGATTGCTTTCTGCAATGCTAATGCTTTAGAAGTCCCAGTGACTAGAATCATAACCTCATTAGCATCCATTACCGTTCCAACTCCCACTGTCAAGCAACGCTCAGGAACCTGATATTGTAAATAAGAATATCAGTCAGCTTCAATCAATGAAAAATTTAGTTTACAGTTTAAATACCGGCTTATGACAGTCAGTTATCTACTATGCATGTGAATGTACTTTATTGCATTTACATTTTATTTTGCATTAATTTGGATAATTACTATCCTAATACGCATTACTCTTATACGAGATAATTCACTGTAAATAGATACGCAACCACAAACTGGTGTTGTCTGACGTCCTCTACGGATTTAAGGAATCATAAAAAGCCACTAACATTATGTGTACAGATACTTCAGCGACCAAGGTAATGAAGTAGTATATCTGAAGTTCAATGTTAGCTGTAGGCAATTATGTGAGACTTGTGGCAGGTTCTTTGTAAAGTAACTTTTCGTCTTGTACTTTATTGTCATGTGCTGTGGGTCGTTTCACTTTTTCGGTCCGTAAAATGGAACAAAAGACTTACGTCGGCGAGTACAGTCGTCAGTAACTGTTGACTACTCCGCAGGCATCTTGATTAGTTTTAATTCATACGGTTATAAGTAATCGTTGGCTGAATTACAGAATTTCTGTGATACCAACATATGGATAAGTGGGAATTGTAACTTGTACGGCGATGTTTATTTCTAGATATGCTTCGAGAAGCCTATCGCAGAAGTTGACTAAGAGGCAACCGATTTGGAAAACAGAAATAAAGGTGTCTTGTGACATGTTAAGGATAATAAATATAGTGTTTATGACACTCGAAATCTGATAGGAATACACAAAACTGAGGGAAGACAAAAAATAGATACACCTGCACCATTGAAAACAATTTTCAGTCATGTTATCCAAAGTCTGTTACCATCGGTTACGATAATCACGCGGACCTCCAACAGGTGGTCCAATTGTTTGTGACTTCATAGACTGATGGCATGCTTTAGTTTGGCCACCACTAGCTTGCTTTCAGCCTACTCTTACACCAGGAAACCACCTATCGAGGTAGGCAGAGGTCAAGCATACATAACACCTGTCTCAACCACCTCAGTTAGTGAAGATTTACTACCTTACCAATCGATTTCCCATTTCTACCTAGTACTCTACTCCTAACCCAGGTATTGCTTAATCCGTGGTCCCAAAATACACCAGAAGTACTTTGTAAACACCTATGGTCGAATATAAGTAACCTACGAATATCCCCAACACTTAATAGCCATGTTTCACATCCATTAAGCAGATTGAAGCGAATTGCTGCGTAGCAAACGGACGAACATCTCGCCTACATAACAGGTTGATAAAAGTCAATCGAGCCCTCTGAATGCTTGCTGAGATTTTGTCAGACATCGGCATTGATGAGATTCCCAAGATAATTGAAGTGGTCGATATGCCCAACTACTTTATTCCCTATCACTAATTCAGGGGGCGACATAAGCCAATCCTGAAGTAACATTTTACATCTGGAGGGAGAGAACCGCACCCCAAAAATGCTTGCATTGTCGCTCAAGGTGGTCACAAGACTGCATTTTGTCAACATGTTCACAAAACAGAACTATATCATCAGAATATTCCAAGTCAACAAGACAATCTCATTGTACAAGATCAATCCCTGAAAAGTTAGATGATGAAAGTGTTATGTCAAGAAGCATGCTTATGACAAAGTTGAATGATGTTCATGAGAAAATGATAAATCAGTGGGTGGTGAAATTTGTGGATCATTTGACAGTTAGCATGCATTATTTTGCTGAGGGTTGAGTGGAAAACCTTTATCCTCATGATAAATACATTATTAATGAATAAAATCAAAGTGATTGTTAGATATATTTTGTTGGTGATTTATGAATTTATAACATTAAGGCCTTATTATCAGACTTATAACTTATTATCTATTATATCGGTCCCTGAAACAGGTATTAGGCACTTTTATATTTCATTTTAACCTAGTTCAATAGAACCTGGTAAAGCTACAGTTACAAAATATTCCCGAAGCAACCTCAAAAAGACCAGTGGAAAGTAAAAGTTTTGTACAACTTTCCGTAGCTTATACTCGGATGTCAAAAAACATTTCGGTGTTTAACTAGGCGATTCAACAATCTGATAGTGTCTTGGAAACAAACAAGATATCTTTCCACTTTAAAAGCCGTAACATCACCGTTTGTCCGTGTGTTTTAAATAGGAGAGAGACTAACGCGGAAATCTCGTCACTCTTACCATTTCCTTTTTGATTTCCATTTACCTTCTCTCATTTCAAATGTTTTTTATCCCTGTGACAACAGACCGCAACGAGGGACATGAGAGAACCCAGGGTGCAGTGTGTATGCGAGAACTAACAATCATTCATGATCTAAAATAATAGTCAAATAGGGTAAGGAAATTTCACTGTCACTGAAGTTACCTCGGCCTTAACTACGCAGTCTATAGATTATAAAATTCATCTCTGAGATCTGGAAATTTGGCACACCGGCCATGTTGGCGCAAAACAATGAAGATAAAATCCAATGGAAATGAAGAAGGGGTGCTTCTTCACTGAATCCACAGAAGAAATCACCTTGACGCAACTAAATTTTCAGGGGTCAGAAAGTACCTTTGTTGTTCCTTTACGTACGTCAACTACGGCTCTAATGGTGCATACAGTTCTGCTTTGGATTCCATATTCAGGAAAGCAGATTACTGATTATTTGCCACAGCTGTTTACTGAAAAGTTATATTTTGCTCAAGACAAATTTAATTCGTCATCTGCTCCGTTTGTTTATTTATTTATTTGAACATATAAATATTGGTACAAATCGGCACCGAATACATATGAGCCACGCAAGTCACTTGATTTGTGTGTGGACTGTGATACTGACTGGGTGCTCAGACCGAAGAAGGTGGTTTTTAAGGGGTGGGCACACCCGGAGCCTTCGACCTAATGGTCTGATCCATAAGGCAGTGGAGCAACATCAGGAAACGCAGTCCCATGGTAGCCGGTAACCAATAATTGGTTCATACGCCATTTGTTCCCTCAAGATCCTGGAGTTCATGTGCACCATTGGTTTGGAATCAGGGGTTTCCAAGTCCCCTAAGTGGAACCTCCATTTCCACCAACCCGGTTAAAGCGCCGGGCATCCGCTTTTCGTCCTCTTAATTTCGTAAAGAACACCCCCGCTGTGAGAAGGCAATGAGTGGGACTTCCCTAGAAGTGGTTTTATACGCACGGCCACGTGAGAGCATTTCGAGAGGGAGAGCTGACTCTCCCCGCCCTCGACCGTACCAGGGCATTCAGGGCCATGTAATGTGATGGAAACTTTGTTCGGTTATATAGAATAGAATCCAAACCATTACAAATTATTCACTTGATATTGTTTTATTTGAATCTTCCCATTGATGTTTTTGGACTGAAATTGATCAGTCTCTTATTGGCATATGTGCATACTGTGCGTGTGCCTCGATATTGCCTTAATTTACAAGCATTGTAAGCAAAGATTCAAATAAAACAATATCAAGTGAATTCAACTTCAACCCATTGCACAAGCAAGTGGCTATCAGGACTCAGTAGCTAAGTGGATAACGCGATGGCGTTTGAAGCGAACGGTACTGAGTTCGAGTCCCAGAGTGAACATCAACTCTGAGATGCAGGTACATCCAGCTGACGAGTCCCAAACAGGACGAAACGCGCGTCCTGGATTCCACTGCTAGCCACTATCCATCTTTGCTTACAATGCTTGTAAATTAAGGCAATATCGAGGCATACGCACAGTATGCACATATGCCAATAAGAGACTGATCAATTTCAGTCCAAAAACATCAATGGGAAGATTCAAATAAAACAATATCAAGTGAATTCAACTTCAACCCATTGCACAAGCAAGTGGCTATCAGGACTCAGTAGCTAAGTGGATAACGCGATGGCGTTTGAAGCGAACGGTACTGAGTTCGAGTCCCAGAGTGAACATCAACTCTGAGATGCAGGTACATCCAGCTGACGAGTCCCAAACAGGACGAAACGCGCGTCCTGGATTCCACTGCTAGCCACTATCCATCTTTGCTTACATTACAAATTATATTTTTTCGGTTAGAACTGTCAAGCCACTAACTGTTTTGGTTTAACAAAATATTTATAAGAACTAATTTCATAGTGATAAAGATCACTTAAAGACAAACTGATAATAACTCACGCCATTCAAGTGACTCCTACTTGATAAGACAACCCAAAATGAAGTGAAGGGACGTCATAAATGTTTTTTTAAACCGGTAGTTCGAGCAGACCTATTTACTTATATAGAGACAGTGACTTACCAACAGTTTTTTTATCGGGGGGTACAAGTGACTGGTAATAACTGCTGTCTTCCTTATCATCATATATACTTAAAGTTATCGGTAATCAACACGGCTATAATTGAAATGAACAGTATAGATATGTACAACAGGCGAGAAGACCATTTATTACATGCAAAATAAGTGCTGGATGGCAAAATCAGAATGAGTCATGTTAATGGAATTACGATCACTAATTACACTTCATTTTAGTTTCCGTTTGTTCGATACTTAATATCGGTCAGAAACAGAGGTCAGCCTATAAGCGATCCAAGAAAGAGCACGTGATAACTAAATTTAAGGGCTATTAAATGTTTCACTGAATAACAATGTATCTCAAAGGGATAGTAGAATTATGCCAAGGAGAGCCTTTACAACTATACTTTGAAAAATTATACTGAAATAAGTCCTTAGTTCTCGGAAGTAAAATTGTGACCAAGGTACACATGACGTCGAGAATCGGAATCAAATATCAAAAAATGAATAGCAACTGGAAGAGATCGTCCAGGACTGACAATGCTGGTGGGCTGCCTATACTTCACAAGAGGTATCAAGAGCAAGTAAAATGACCTATGAAGGACTTTAGTGAAAATATTGTTGCTTGGTATAATTCTATATATTACTAATACGATCGTGTGTTTTCTGTACTGTTTTTTGGTCAGATGTATAGTTTATTTTTGGTAGCTGTTTTTGTTTACTACTCTCAAATTTTAACATAAAATAAAAAGATGTTCATTGAATTTTTGAATTTTACTACCTGAGACATGTTATCTCCAAAAAATCTAGCATTAGCTACAATAGTCTCCTTTGCCAGTGTTTTGACACGTGTGCGAGATACTAAGCTAGAACCTGGCTCGTTAAAGGCGATATGACCATCCGGGCCTATTCCACCAACAAACAAGTGAATACCTCCAGCTTTCTTTATCTCCATTTCAAACATTTCGCATTCGGCCTCTGGATCATTAGTTGTTCCATTGAGTATATGCACATTTTTCGGATCTATATCTATGTGCTGATAAAATTTAAACATCGTTACTGATAATTATTGAAAAAAGCCACATATACATATTCAGAAAAGCGTATAAGCCGCAAAAGTGAGGCACCGAAAGAAATGACCGGTGGAGCAATATTTATACTAAACATATTTCTCTGATAAGATGACGGTAAATTAAACGCCATTAGGTGAAAAATTCTATTCGTCGAAACTTTTTTAGCCTGTTCTATTTTACAGCAAATTTGAAATTATTGCTTGAAACATTAAATTGGTTACACTAAACAGATCAATGCACTTAATACGCTATAAAACCACAGACCATTTTGAAACTCCTGATTAATCAGTAGGATAACTTGGACATTGTTTGAAAATAAAAGATTGGATTATGGGATCTCCGAAGTCTAGGTGAACTTTAAAGCTGCATAAGAGTAGTAACAATTCAACTCGAGCATTTTATTAGAAAGGGGTCTTGAAAGGATTGTAGTAATTTAATAGTTAAATTCATGAGTCAATTAAAGCTAGACCACCAAAGAAAACCTGGAAGCAAGACCGAAGGTCTCGGGTTCGAATATCGCGAGCGGGATCGTGGATGAGCACTGCTGAGGAGTCCAATACCAGGACGAAACGACCGTTCAGCGACTCCAGCTTTTCCATGGTGGTTTAGCTTTAATTGACTTATGAATTCAACTATTAAATTTCGAGCATTTTAACCCTTCAAAAACAATATGTACTGCGTTTGTTTGTATCTGTAGTCACTGCTACAATAACAGTAGATGTTTAAAGAACTATAATAATAAACACTTGTAAACTGAACTTAAGTGTTCAGCCACTTTACTGTTGCGTACTCTTTACTGGAAACTAAGTATGAAGTTTGATACCAGAAAAGGTCAACAACGTGAATTACTAAATATTTTACAAACTGACACAGATGATTACTCATCGTTCCAATGGCTATAACTAGAGTTAGATGGTGGATTCACATAGGTCCAACTTCTCCTAACATACAGAGCTGTTCGGTAAGAAAAATAGCAATGCCAGTTACAACGGGCAGGGTACGAAGACTGTATGTGATCCGTTCAACGGATTAAAAACACTAATTGACGTATGTTTTCTGACCATGAATTTTTAATGTAAGTGAGATCCGTGTACTATTCATTTATTAGGGATGATATGAGTGAGGAGTGTCCATAGTTAACGAATTAGCAGATAACTACTTTCATCTGCAGAAGCTTGTCATTGGCCCAACAACGCTAACTTCAGTATTCACTAACGGACAGGTATAATGCTTAACAAATCAGTCATGTACAAATCTTCTATTACTTACTCACTAAAAACAATACATCTTGTTACCGAACTGATTTGCGACATTGTTTTTTTTTAATTACTTAATATCCTTTATTTTAATGTTGATTTTTTGACTGGTTTCCGGACAGAAATAATATCTTAATTCATAATAATTAGTATTGTTAATTTTAACCCCATATTCTGCACAAATTTGTGGTTACTCTTCACCACATTACGTAGATAAATTGATTTCGAAACCCGATTGCAGGTATACAACTGACAAATAATACAGGAAACTTTTCGACTATGTTTTTTGCACTAACGCCTTGATTAGATTTGTTGAAGAAAACATATTTTTACAAAGAACGATATTCAACCAGAATTTCAAGTATCTACATACTTGAAGATACATTTCCAAAAGGTTCCTTAAAGCACTATGAGAAGTTTTGATAGGTTCGTACCATACTCAGTGATACATTCAGCCAAAGCTTATGCTCACTTTTCACAAGGAGACTTTGCTGTCTCACAAAAAGTATCAGTGAAAACTAGTTTCTATTTTAAATGAGCTGCATTCAAATAGTAGATAGTTTAATCAAAGCATCACAAACATACTGATACTTAGTACACACTATTGAGAAAAAAATATTAAAGAGGTTGAACAAGATTTAATTTCGCATACCAATGGAGAGTGAACAAAAATCCGGCGGATCCTGAATCCATTTTAGCTTAGTTAGGTTTAAACATTTCAGTGACTACACATATTTTTGGGGAAAAAACTAGGAAAGGTATATTTATTATTCTTGGAAACATATTAAACTGATGTAGCTTTAGTATAACTACTGTTGTATAACACTTATAGGAAAGCTATTATCTTCAGAATAGATATTCAAGTGAAATATTTTGTATAGATTTCGGAGTCATTTTCAGTTTCCTTGAATAAAAGTACACGTATGAAAGGATAAATACATTAACAATCCAACGCTAATACTTATCTTACTTTGAAAAAATTATGATACATGTAGTAATGGTAAGATTGTGGATGATCGTGAGACAATCCCAAATACTCGTCCATATTGAAGGTTTTCACATACCGAAAACTAAGTTTGCCATCATGGTGAAATTCAATTAACCGCTTGTACATACCCAAAGGAGTTGAACCGGTTGGAAGACCAAGAACAAAGTATCTCGATTCAGATGGCCTGAAGTCAGTTATCTTTTTCATTACGTATTTAGCAGCCCATACTGCAACTTCTTCAGGATCTTCAAGAATCAGTAGACGCATAATAACTATTTAGCCTATGTTCAACGTACATAAAAATCGAAAAACACATGCTCAAACGTAGAAAAGGTATTAACATGTTATATACTCTTTTTACTAACGATCATTCCAAGAAAATGTGAAACATTGATATTCTACTGTGCAAAGTGTGAACAACTAGATAATATTTTGCAAAAAAGCTGATAGCATCAATTTCCGATTTACGGACTAACGCTGGGACAAAATGCCAACTAAGAGTTCCAAAGATCAATACAGTTGTATATACAAGCCCATATTTTTATAATGAATTAATTGGTGTCATTAATAGGAAAGTCACATGAACTTCTAATGCCTGATCGAAGCTGCTACCTTGACGCGATGGTCGGGCTTGCCTATCGTGATGACCCAACCGAGCTATATTGGCTGGAACATATGTTTCTGTAGGTTCTACCATACCAGGCAGGTCGTTTAGAGAACGGTAAGACTAAAAGCAGCAACTCAAGGTCTGAGGGCGAAGTCGTACTGCTGACTGTAGAGAGGTGTGACAGCAGTAAGGTGTTTCCCTCGGACAACCAGCATGACAGCGATGCTGCCTTCCCACAAGGAGGGGTGGGGTTAGAAAAGGTCGACCCTGAAAATGTCACACCTCACCTTACCTCACGGATTTCCGTCTCCGGTGGTAAGGCCCTTTGAAGAACAGAGCTAACACGTCAAAAACCTTCCACAAAAAGGCCGTGCGCGACCGGCCTCAAGCAGTTGTCGCTTGGGCTCTGCGGTCACGCTCCCAGGTCGTCAAGACCAACACTAATCCAATTTCCTTTTCAGGTTCCTCAAGAAATACCCTTCCACGGTGTGGGCAACCGGGAAGTGACATCAGCCCTCATACCCGTAACAGCACACGAGACCAAGGTGGTCACATTCAAATCCTTCCTGCACCTCCTAATACCTCTCTTATCTCCATGACTAACCCTCCTCACGTCTCTTTATCACCTCGCATCGCTAGGGCAAACGATTCGAGTACGCGGAACGCTATTCCTGGTCTCCTGAAACCACGCTCTAAACTACACGTAGGAGCTTTTAACGTACGAACACTGTGCCAAATAGGACAGCAGGCTTCCTTAGCTAGGACTTTAGAATCTCGCGCCATCGATGTGTGCTGCGTCTCCGGAACGCGCATACAGAATCCAAGTAGCGTCATTCATTTGACCTCACCATGCCAAAATAAAGAACCGACTCGATTCACACTTCGTGTATCTGGAAGCCCTTATTCTGATTCCCGTGGCCTCGCCGGCGTAGGTATAGCATTGAGCCCTAGGGCAGAACTAGTTCTCTCAGAGTGGATCCCAGTAGACATTCGTTTGTGAGCTGTCCGACTAAACGGAACAATAAGGACTCGGAAAGATAAGGACACTCGTCGTTGCCTCTTCGTCGTCTCTGCCTACTCTCCCACTGACTGCAGCTCAGATGATGTAAAAGATGAGTTTTACAAAAAGCTTTCCGACCTTCTCCGAAAAGCTAAGCGCTCGGATGTAGTAATAGTGGCCGGTGACTTTAATGCTCAAGTAGGTAAACTAAGCGATAGGGAAAGACACCTGGGTGGATCTTAAAGCATCGTGGCTCAAAGAACAAATATTGGCGACCGTCTGTTGCAGCTATGCTCAGATAATCGCCTGTTCCTTGCAAATACTAACTTTAAGCATAAGGAAAAACATCTTTTAACATGGCGACCCCCTAATTCGTCCCAACGTTGGACCCAAATAGATCACATCGCTATCAGCCACCGATGGAGGGGCTCGATAGAAGACTGTCGCTCATTCTGGAGCACATGCCTAGATTGAGATCATGCTCTAGTGCAAGCGCGTATTTGCTTGCGTCTTACTGGACGTAGGAAAGACGCTGCAAGGAAACCTCTTAGGGGCCTACTTAATGATAGTCAAGCTAAGAGTATGTATCAGGAACAACTAGGAAAACAGTTAGGCAGCCATGTATGTGATGCCCACCCCGATGCAGCATGGGATGATATCCGAAAAGCTGTGGAAACAGCAGTGATATCTGCTAGTAAGGTAAACCAGAAGGTTAGGGAGCAACACTGGATCTCAGCAGCATCTATTGCACTGATAGATGCTCGGAAACTCATTCCACCTGGTTCTGAACATAATGAGGAGCGGAGTCAGCTTAAGCGCAAGCTGACAAGAAGTCTACGCAATGATTGTGAACAGTGGTGGGTAGCGAAAGCAAGAGAGATGGAAAATGCAGAGGCAATAGGTAATAGCAAACAATTGTTCAGACTTGTTAAGGAAACCGGAATTAGGAACCCGACCGTTAGCGAAAAAATCTCAGAGAAAGATGGACATATTATACATCCTCAATCCAGGAGATTGGATCGATGGACAGAACACTTTAGGGATCAGTTCAACTGGCCTTCAGCCACACTTCAGTTTCCCACGATCTCTAGTCAACCTGAATGGCAAGTTAATGTAGGTCCTCCGTCCCTTTACGAAGTTGAAAAAGCCATAGGAAATCTGAAACGAGGGAGAGCACCAGGCCCTGACAGGTTTACTCTTGAGAACTGGGAACTGGACGTAATTCCATCTGACTGGTCTCAACCACTGATTGTGCCAGTCTATAAGAAAGGACAAAAGTCCTCTTGTGACAATCACAGAGGAATCAGTTTGACTAATATAGTGTCTAAAATATTAGCTTCAATAATACTTCGACGCCTAACTAAAGCTCGTGAAGAGCAGACTAGAGAAAACCAGACTAGTTTTCGACCTGGACGTGGTTGTATAGGCCAGATATTCACACTACGTCAGGTTCTAGAACACAGACACACGTTTAGACGCCCCACAATCGTAGTATTTCTCGACCTCAAGGCAGCATCTGACTCTGTTGATCGTGAGGTTCTATGGCAGTGTTTGTCACTGAAAGGAGTACTAAAGAAGTACATTAACCTTATAAAGATTAGATTCGGTTAAGATGCTGCTGTATTTGGGACACGAGGATAGAAATGCCCCACACACTCAAGGAGTTGCTCTGATACTGTCCAAATGAAGACATTTATAGGATGGGAATCTCATGAACCCAGAATCATCAAAACATCCTTCTAAACAAAGAAGTAAGGGATCACAGTGAGTGTTACCCAATGTTATGCATCCACCAATAACAGCAATGACGATGACAAACATCGGTTTTACGACAGTCTACAATCGATCATAGCGAAACAATCAGGAAAGAAGCTGATCATACTGATGATAGACATAAACGCCAGGGTCGTAATGGACAACACCGGGTATTAATATATCATGGGACGATACGGGCTGACTAGGAGAAAGGAACGAGTATAGCGAAAGATCTACAAATTTATGTGCATTCAACAAAATGGTTATAGGTGGCACAACATTTCCACACAAACGCATACATAGAACTACGTGGGTATCACCGGATCACACTACAGAGAATCAGATCAATCATATTTGCGTCAGTAGAAAGTTCAATAGGTCAACGGGAGTCGCGAGAACCAGAAGAGGAGTTGACATGGCTTAGGGTCATCACCAAGTGATTACCAAGATGGTACTGAAGCTAAAGAAACACTGGACAGCTGCGAAAAAATACATCACAAAGGCTCAATACAGCCTTCCTTTGAGATGCTGAAAGACTCAACGATTTCAAGACAACTCTCAATAAAGGTTTTAATTCTTACAAGATCTACTCAAATAAGAACAAACTGCTACGAAGAACAACTGCGAAAGGATAAAAAATCACTAAACCCAACGTATCAGCAGGTTTTGGGTCGCAACAAGCGTCTTCACAAGGAATGAATAATTGGACAAATTTCAAGAGAGGAAGAACACGAGGACAGTAACCAACGACAACTGAAAATGAACAGTGAAAATCAAGACACAAGCTGAATACACAGAAGCAAACAAGCACGTGAAGAAGAGCATTGGAGCCAACAAGCAGAAATACATGGAAAGACGGAGGAACAGATGGGTGGTACACTTCGAGCAACTCTTAAACAGACCAGCTCCATTGAACCCACCAGACATCGGAGCAGCGCACACAGACCTTCCTATAACTGTCACTCCACAACGATCGAGAAAATCAGGATGGCCATCAGACAAATCAATAGTGCGAAAGCAGCAGCACCTGACAGTATTCCAACTGAAGCACCCAAGTCAGACACGGAAGTAACTGCAAACACGCTCCATATCCTACTTAGGAAGATTTGGGAGGAAGAACAAGTGCCGACACTGGTGATCTGAACAAGTATGAGAACTACAGAGACATCACATTACTGTCAGTACAAGGAAAGGTTTTCAACATAGTGTTGTCGAACCGTATGAAAGACTCCGTAAACGCTCAACTTCGAGATCAACCGCCTGGATTCCGTAAGGATCGGTCGTGCACAGACCGAATCGCGACACTACGGGTCATCGTTGAGTAATCAGTTGAATAGGACTCATCATTATGCATCAACATCAGTGACTTTGAGAAAGCATTTGACAGTGTGGATAGGAAAACCTTATGAAACCTTCTTCGACACTATGGTGTACCTGAGGTCGCCAACATCATACGGAATTCGTACGAAGGACTACACTGCAAAGTCGTGCATGGTGGACAGCTGACAGACACATTCCAAGTGAAGATCAGTGTCAGGCAAGGCTGCTCACTCTCTCCCCTTCTCTTTCTTCTGGTGGTTGACTGGATTATGGAGACCTGAACAACTGATAGAAAGCACGGACAGCTCAGAGCCAATTAGACGACTTGCACTTCGCAGATGACCTAGCTCTTCTACCCCACACAAACCAACAAATGCAGATAAGGATAACCAGAGTGGCAGAAGTCTCTGGATCAGTAGAGCTCAACGTGCACAATAGAAAATCAAGATCCTTAAATACAACACGGAGAACACCAACCCAATCACATTTGAAGGAGAAGCTCTGCGAGAGGTGGAGACTTTCATACATCTGGACAGTATCATCGATGAACAAGAAGGATCTGATGCAGACGTGAAGATGAGGATTGGCAAAGCAAGGGCAGCATTCCTACAGTCGAGGATCACCTGGAATTAAAAACAACTGTCACCCGAGACCGAAGTCATAATCGTCAATACAAACGTCAAGAAATTTCTATTGTGCAGAGCTGAGACTTAGAGAACTACTACAATCAATATGAAAAGTGTACAGGTTTTTATAAACAGCTATCTACGCAAGATATTCGGCGTCCATTGACCATCAGCAAGAACCTACTGTGGCAGGGAACAAACCAGTTCCGACTGAAGAGGAAAGTAGGAAAAGTCACTGGAAGTGGATGGAACACACATTAAAGAAATCATCAAACTGCATTGCGAGGCAAGCACTAACTTGGAATTTCGAGGGGAAAAGACAAAGAGGAGGACCAAGGTACACATTACGTTGAGAATCGAAAGCAAACATCAAAAGAATGAATAGCAACTGGAAGGTATTGCTCAGGACGGAGTACGATGGAGAATACTGGTGCGCAGCCTATACTTCATAAGGGGTAACAGGAGTAACTAGCGAATTTCACTGCAAGGATCTCGGTTGATAGCTGTACTTAAGCTGTCATAATAAAATGTAGAATGTCATATTAAGTCCTATCGTGTTATCATGGTAAGTCAAAGGGATAAGATGACAATAGTAACTAGTGTCGATGTACAAGTGATCAGGCTTTGATTGAGGTTCAAATCTTGGGTTGTTCTTAGTTGTATTTGTGGAGAGTTGTCAAGTCATATTGCATAACGAGATGGGCGCTAAATATGAACCCACCGTTTGGTAAACTGAAGTCACTAAACCAACAAATATTACCATTCCACCTAGAAACGTAGTAGCAGAATATTAATGACATGCCACTTCACTGAGCAGCAGTTGGATTGAACATAACACTTAGAATTGGAGTTCAACAGCTCATTTTATTGCCATAATCTCCTGTCATTAACTAAATAAGACAAGTGTCAGTGACGAGAAAAGTATTATTTTTCAAACTAGAATGAATACTCAAATGAGTGCAACAAAATCAGAGCAAAACGAATCAGTAAACGTCAACCAGCCACTTAATCAAAGGCAACAAAATATCGGCGATATATAACTATCGGTTAAAGTACTCATAACATATAATCTCGTCGCTTGGATTGTTGAGATGAAAACAGCAACAAAAGTATCAGTGGTAATTATAAGAAGCAGGAATAGAAAATATGATTCAGGGAGAAAGAGTACAGCCGCTCAATAGAAGGCACAAAAAAATTTCGGTGAAACTATGATTTATGGACGAATCAATCAGATTTTGGTGCGAAATCTGTCTAATAGGGAAACTGGGCCTAGTGGAGTGTCTCACCGTAGTTTTGAGGACAATGTCTTCTCTTCTGTTCACAAATGACCCTCCTATAATCATCGGTCTTGTTGTACGCTGACGATGTCAAGATATGGAGTGATGAAAGGTAAAGCTGATGGTTAAGTTACAAAATGACCTGAAGAAATTATCTGGATGGTCTTGAAATTGGCAGTTGCCGATAACTGCTTCCAAGTGCATTGCGATGTCTGTTGGTCACAAAGGTACAGACACAGTGAATAATATTCAGCTCTGTCGTCCAGACACACAATGACTTAGGAGTCATCGTCATCTGAAGAATCGAAAGCCACTGCACATCGCCGTGCGACGGCCACTAAAGGTTTCAGAACCCGATGGTCAATACGTAGAGCCTATAGCTATGTCGATGTTAATATCTTTTTGACTTTGTATACAGTAATTGTTCATCACAAACTCAAGTACTGCATACAAGCAGCTAGTCAGAGAATTTAAGAGAACACTCTACAAAAGTTCTCAAATCCAGAACAAATTACTCGTCAGCTGAACCTCGCATTTTTCACCGAATCATCAATGGATGGAACTACCCCTACAGGTGATTAAAGCTACATTTGTTGACGCTTTTAAGAGGAAGTTGGACCAACTGGGAGACCACTATTTTCAGGGCACTTAGCTTTCTACCCTCTTCCAAACTGAGTTATGCTTGTGCAAACGGACTTTAAAATAATGAGTTGGGGTCACATTCTTGTCTACAGGATATAAATGGCGACAGTGATCACCACCCTCCCGAAAAGCAAACTCACCGATACAATCGAGTGAAGAAAGACAATGTCAATTATTTACACATACTTCAACCCAAGTAAGTTTATACTTTAAGGTTTAAATACTGCGGCTGACAATCTGGATTTTTGGCGTTTCAATGACTACATGTTGTTGTGTGGTAGTATTTTGTGTGTACATACCAAAGATTTAATTCGTAGATATGTGTGCGTTTCATGGTTGGAATAACCATCATAGATTTATTTCAACGTAGCAATTGTTGGACATGGAGATACATTATGGAAGTGATTCTCCGTGCAATGAATACCACGTCCAGTTCCACCAAGAGTGAATTTCGGCTAAGAAAGCTCACTAATAACTTCCACTTAGTGTATGCAAAAAGACAACCTTAGGCTGTGAATCTAGTGTATACATGCTTCGAAGCACTTAAAGACGTATGTACACAAGTTGTACGTATAATCGATGGTAACGAACAGGCCATATCGACGGAACCCATTGTTCCAGTTGACCATACTAATGCTTCTAGATGTTCGGAATCGTAATTATTCCCCAGTTTTACATAGATTAATTTATACGGACATCAACTTGTTCTTACACTGTTACGGTAGGGAGAATGTACCGAGCGATCTTACTTTACTGTGAAACGTGAGGATAACTATTGGCGTCTACTATCTGTAGTTATTCGAACCGTCTACCAATGCTTCAACCTTGAACTCGGTGTTTACAACTAGGTGAAATTTGATGTCATTAAACTACCTAGATATCACACAGCAGTTACTTTCACTATCATTAATCTGATTGCAACAAGCTTTATTTCAGTTTACACGAGTAATACTGGGTGTTTGACATCATATGGCTACATAGTTGGATAAAGCAATGCCTCTTGATTTTTATCTATGCTCTTTCGTCAAAGACCAAGGTTTCTGTCTGTTCTCTGCTCTTAATGACGTACTTTTCGAAAACTAGAAGTCCTTTCTTCATCTTCGCTTCTAAAGTTATCTTCATGTAGTGAGTTTGGGACAATTTTTCTTCACTTGAAAATTACCAGGACTCGAGCGCTTATTACCTATACCTATAAACAATAACATAGATAAATGATACATACTAGTTGTTCGTTTCCGACACACTTGTTCATCGAACGACGATTCGAAGTGAGTGGTTGTAAATTACGAGATACTCATGGTACATGAAAGTGCACTTTCTGATATAGTTCCATCGTTAACCACTTCATTTCCTGGTTACGTAAAAGTGCTCGAACTCATGTAATATTTATTACATGATAGTAGCAATTATTTACAATAATATGAATATAAACCTATTAACTATGCGGACACTGGATATCTAATCACGTTTTATGAGAACATCGCACTTGTTTTGCATCCAATGTCGAATTTATTTATGTCGGATTTATTTGCCGCTTCAAACTATACAAAATAAACAAGGAGGGAATAATAATAAATATCTTCCAGTGCCACGCATTCACTAGTGATAACTGAAAGACAACTGATGTTAGTTTAATGAAGGGCTAAAAACCATCCTGGAGAGAAATACCAGTAAAGCGCCTGACTATCCTTATATGAAACGTAGAAACCATGGTTGAATTAGACGGCTTCCGATGCGAACGCTTCGTGAGGGACGCTGATAGGGACAATCCAACTAAAATGGCAAGGCCCCGGTCTATCTTTTTGCAAGATCTTTCTTAAAGACGTATGGTTTTGTGTGTGACAACATCTTAGTATCTATGTACTTCATGTGTAACTATTTTGTCCCTATATGTATATTATTTTCATTTCTTATGGTTTACTTGTAGTTATTACATCATTGTGCTGTCAACGGATTTAGTGAGTGACCAACTACTTGGTGTTATTTGGGTCGAATGAGTCCTCTTCAACGTTTTAACGGCCGGCATGTTGGATTAATACTCTTCAATTTCTCCTGAGTGAACCAATGGTTTCCATTTTATCCCAGTGGAATTTTAAAGCACTTGCTGCTTATTTGAAATGTTTCGTTTGTAGTCAATAATGTAACTGCATAATTCTCAAAGTTCTTATGTGGTTGTTATTATATGAACTAATTAATCACTTTCAGGACGAACTAAATAATTTTATTCTTTGTTCCTTGGAGCGAATATCGTTTTTCCTTCTTCGGGACTATGTTTTCCGTTCGACATGAAATCAGGCCATATTCTTGACAAATTGATCGCCTAGTTTCCCTTTTTTGGTGGTGTCGCATTTGGTTGTGACCAAAAACCATGTCACTTGAAGAAAATATTGTTCATATATATATTTAACTGATAAATATAATAATAACAACTAATTCTTAAGTAACAATATGTTACGTTAGGCACATCAGATTACGGGTACGGTCAATTTGTTATGAATGCTACATGATTGACCGTAATGAGTTACTCAGGTTGACATGTTAGTCACAGTCATGGAAATAGGGAAATCAAATTTAGTAGCTTAGAATATGACTAACGTTGGTTAGGCCCAAATTTCAATGTACAAGTCGGCACGCTATATGGATATTGAGTTGTGACGGAGAATGAAGTAACGTAAAGTCTACAGTTGCAACGCGGTACTTTCTTTTGTTTACCATAATTATACAGTCTAGCATGTAATAAGATTTTTCGGCGGGAAATGAAACCAATTAAAGGTTACAAACATGAGTCATTGGACTATTTGGTCCATGAAATTAAAATCAGTGCCATTGATTAGCTACATCCGACCATGCCATAAGTGGCTGTTATTCAAAAGCTTTCCGACACTACAGACATAGGTAGATGAAGTTATCTCTTCATCATCATATTTGCTGGTCAGAAACGCCACTCTCCCATTTTTTCATGTCAAGCTCTCTAGAGTTTCTGGCATGCTTTAATATTGCTTTAATCTAAGTTCTATGTTGTACGACATGTTGAAATACACTCCCTTAACTAGTTTCCTGATACAAGCAAATCAGAAAACTGTGGCTTCTGTATTGTGGGTTGGATATCCATTTGGTTTATCACACTGTTAGGAAGTTGACTGGCAATGTAAATTATAAACTGCAGGTCAGATGACATGGAGTCAAGAGATATTAAAGATGGATAGCTGATCAAAGAATATAAAAGAGTGTTCAGGACTACAAAATCCATGAGTATAGAAATAAGTAAGCAAGAAAACAAAAAAAGGGCATGAATGATAATGGGCAGTGAGCGAGGCGAAACCACGCGTACTATCATTTGGTTAAACATACAGGTGACAACGGGAATCTGATATATTCCTGGTCTATCTAGATACTAAGCGGTCCACGAAAAGTGCTTCAAGGTTGGGTGGGAATTCTGAGAATAGTTAGTCAGACCCCTTAGTTTATAAACAGGGTCATTAGTGTCTTGAGCTCAGTGATAGTGCTGCAGCTACTGGTAGGTACTGGTAGTCCGTTTCACAGCAAACTATACCGTACTGCGTAAGAGTACTATTCACTGGTTTTGGGTGTTTTACACGTAGTATTGTGTATGTGTTGTTTCTGAGTTTATAGGCAGGATCGTGGATCATAGTTGCCGGGAAAGTTAGAAGTAAGGAACCACATTTAACTTCTTACCCAAAGGCATTATAAAGGTTCTAATGAGAAGTCCTTACATCTAGCTATGTAGTCGGAAGTCGGGTCACATCCAAGCAATCGACGCGTGATGCTTCTCCTGACATCTACTCGTAGCTTGTCTATTGAATTTTTGTTTGTGAATAAAAGTGTTGAATATTCGAGAGGGAGTCGTTCACATACTTTGAAAAACGTTAGCTCAGCCATCATGGTAAAGAAATTTATGAAATCCATTGGCCATTTAGCTTTATAAATAATAGAGGAGGCAAGTTCTTCGAGCTTTAGGCTCCTTGTGTGATTAGAACCTAGATCGTGCACTCATTCGTGTGTCTGAACTCCGCACTTATTCGGGTGAAGTAGTCGTTCGTGAGGATGTTTCCCGCTATCTATGATACTATACTTGTAGTGGTAAACTGGTATCTGCCAATTTTTGCCTAAAATAGGAAGGTTATTGAGGCGGTTTTGAATGTGTGATATACCTTTACTTAAAGCTGTGCACTATTATGAAATAATTTGCGTGTATGATCGCCCAAATTCCATGATTTCACATATATCGTTTATATACACAAGAAACAAGAGTGGACCTCGTAAATTGCCCTAGTTAACTCCACTAGTCACTGGTTTTTGTACATAGAAAGAGTCGTGGTACTTGGCCATCTGTTTACGTTTTATCAGGGTTGAAGATAATCAAAATAATAATGGACTATTGATTCTAAAGGACTCTGCTTTGACGAGAGACCGTATTGCGTTGTACCTTATCTATAGCTTTCTTAAAGTCCGGGAAGAGAAATGACACAAGTAGCCCTTTGCCTCGTTTTAGAGACATGTCGTTCAGGCAATCTGTCAAGTATATATCGCATGACTGGGACCTCGAAAATCCATGCTGGAGAGTCTGAATTAACTATTTATCAGGTAGATGATGAATCACTGCCATCTAACCTACTTTACCATCACGAGATACTATTGTGATCACGCTTAATAGGCGGTAATCTCCAATACGTGCTGCAGGTCCCGACTTACTTTTGTGACTGATATGTGTTTTTTCCAGGTAGCAGGGCAATACGCTGTATAGTGATATTTCAAATATTTTTAAATGTATAGCATAAACCATGCTATCTGGAATACCAACTGGTCCATTAATGTAGTAGAGTTACAGTGTGATGACTAACTTAGAAATATATTATACATCAAAATTTACATTAGTGACTCCACAGGAAGTTATTGTGGTAGGCTGTGGCATTTGTATGAATTAATGATCCCTTCGTACTTGATATCTGCTAAACTTTGAATTGTAAATACGAAACGTTCATTTGTACCAATCTAGTTCTGTTTGGATTAAATTACGCTATTTCGAGGATCCTTGGTTCATACAATAATTTAAATAATTCTAATAATCAAATTAGCGTCGCAATGGATTCTGTGTTGGGACAGTTGGAGATAAATTTAAATTTCGATGCTCCTAACGATTATATAGAACGGTTCAACATATGGAATACGACCAGGGAAGATGTTGAGGATGTTAATATTGTGACACATCTCTTTACATTCATGGGAAAAGAAGCCCATAGTTTATTAAGAATTTCGGTCTTTCCAGATAATTTAAAGCAACTAATCCCTTTTATGAATTTTGATAGTGTAATAAGAAAACGAAGATTATCGGAACTATGTGATATATTAGTGCAATGCACTTTGGACAATCCGATTACACATATACTTGCCAAAAACATTTATTTATAAAAATAAAAGGTCAACTAGACTAGAAATGATGGGTAAGAGGAGAGGAGGATAATAAAGAAATAATGTGGAAATATTTTAAAACCTCATCATTCTGAATAATAAGCTAATATTACCAAGGTAATAGCACCTTTATTATTACATTACCGAAATCTCCAGATAAACCAATTTCACTTGCTTATGCATCTCTCAAGGAACTACTACTTGTACTACACCGTGTGAAGTGTACATATGTTGAATACTGTTGTAGACCACCAACGTAGATGATCTGTGTGGAAATGATTGGAGGCCTGCTCAAGTTGAACGTCAATGGTGTGACAAACGTGCAAACATCGAAGTCACGCCTCGTCGTCAGCACCTTACGTGGACTACCCCATTGACGTATCAAGGTACCACAGATGCTTTGAAGACTGCACAACACAGAGGACGTTCATAATTAAATATATTAGTTAAAGTAGATACAAGCGAAAGTGAGACCACTGTCACATGGGCCAGTCCATGGCACACGATCAACTGATGCGCGTTGGCTGTCCCTGACCTTGACGAGGATTGATGACTTGCTCAATATTCCATGACCTAACTGCCAGATGATTTGGCTAGGGCTTAGTGACATTTCGCTGGCTCTACACTGTAAAGGAGGAAAATTCCATGAAATGACTCGTCAGAACATCGAAAGTTCCACTACATTACCACGTCATTCCAATCTAATGTGTACCCAAGGTTATGTAGATAAGAGCTCATTGGGAAGTTGAGAAGCTGGTCACGAAGATGAGGACAAGTTTAGTAAATCTTTGTTCTGTGGTAAATTTTACTCATGTAATTCATGTGCATTTCGTAATGCAAAGTGTTCTAAATGGGGTAAGATTAGATGCATTCAGGTAGTTTGTAATACTGCTGTTCGTTTTGCTGCAAGTAATGCTAAACTTTGTAATTTCAATCCTATTGGGTTGAGTACTTCATTTGTCTTTGTTGACGATTTTGAAAAAGAGTATGGAGTTAGACAGCAGTCCAGAATTACATGAAATCTTGTTAGCCTCGCATAAATCTGGCTCATAGACGATATGCATTCAAAATACAGACAAACGCTGGTACATTTTCTCCACAAAGCTACGCAGGATACTACGGAAAGTACGTTTGATCAAACCTTTCAGGAGAGAATTTAAAAGTCAGATCGACGATGCTATAAAGAAAAGAGGAATTGGTGTAGCATCATATAACAATCTAAAACTGAAACTCAAATGCGAATCCAGATTTCTGTAATCCATTATAAGTCTTTTTTGTAGGCCTATCATTTGTCTGTGTTGCTGTGTATTGGGTATAGATTTCGTATGATCAAGAATGTGTTCAACGGAATTCAGAACGGACTAACGTGGCCATTGAATTTATGTCAGATCAAGACGTCAGTTGTAAGTGCATTTAACATTAGTATCTACAGTTTAAACCATATGTTTTTCAACATTCCTCATCGAAATCACCATGGCTGATCGACAATCATTCCCAAGATAATATGAAAGTCCTACAGACCCAAAATATATCATTTTCAAACAGACAGCCTTTTTTTACCTATTATGATGGAATCTCTTTCGTTACATAAACTATAGCAATACCATATTGGAGTCGAAATGCGCCTGCATCCGTCTCCAGTTCATCAGGTAAAGGAGTAGCAGCCGTTTTAGTTCTGTCGAAATTTACCACCATGCAATTAAAACAAGAGTCTCTAAGGGCATTGACTTGAGGTTTACGTCATATACCATTCAACCAGATAGTAAAGCATCCGCAGTATACTTAGAGCCATTATAGGACACCAATAACTTGAATATGTCCATCAAGCTGAACACTTTAATCAATGCTTGGATTAAAAATCCAGCACTTTCCGAAGTTATGAAAGAAACCGCGACCCAACCGGAAGAATATGTGATGGAAATAAATGCATTGTATTCGCCGGAAAATAGATCACGCCAGTCCGAATGGATTTCCTAACAGGCCCCTAAAGCTACTGGTCATGTAGTCCAATTTAAAGGATGACTTTTTATCTTATGACGTCCTTTACAATTGTTTGCTGTACGATCATTATTTGCGTTTATTTCCCGTTGCTAACACGTGGACGTTGCTAAGGATTTCACCTTATGAACACCTAAATATCCACCATGGAGACTGTCATGTTCATATTTGCGCAACGAGCTATGGACTCAGGGACAAAGCGAGACTAATATGTAAGAGAACGTAATTGTAATCATTATTCTTCGACTTTTTTGGAAAACGTACATTTTGGGCGTAGCTAGTCGCTTCATATTTGATCGAAAATTGTTATCATCAACGAGGTATCTCAATAAGGCAAGACGCCACTGCTCTTGAGTTGCTTTATCAGCACCTTGAATAATAATATAATTTTAATAACCTTCGATACCTTGAGCCACTGACTTCAATATTCAACACTTCTTAAAACATGACAGGTAAACAAATTTAATCCAATGGAAGATGGTTAAATTTGAGTAAAATAAAGGCGATAGTGTTAGTCGTCAAAATGGATGATGATTTATCTGAGAGAACCTGAAGATGAGTATAAATTACACCAACTTTTGAGAATACATTAGAATCATGAAGCCAATTGAGAACGACCTCAGCAACTACCATGTTTTATGTGTTCCTCAACAAACGAAAATCAAATGTTGATCTGTAACCACTACATATCCTAGAGGTTTTGCCATCAGACTTCAAAGGCGTAAGAATAAGAGTACCTATGGTGATTAGAAATAGGCGAATTGGTGTGCAAACTAAGAACTCTCATTATAGTCCAGTTAAAGACAGACGGAACTCAATAAGTGCAAATGGATGTCTTATCTTTCCAAATTGAATTAGCCACGGAATTATGTATAAATGTGCAATCAATGAATTTTGATACTACACTTCCTCGAGCTGTACACTGAATCGATTCAGCGATTCTTTTTTTCACGCAAGCCATTGTAGTGACTCACATTTATCACGAGAACACGACTAGTTTAATAAAAACAATTATTATTATAACCAACTGTACCAGTGCTTGTTTTAATGTGCTTTTGTTTGACTGTGCTAATGACAGCTATATTTTGCTTTCATTCTTTTACTTACACTTTGATTGTGACTTCGCGCGAATTTGGTTACGTTCTGTAACCAAGCTTGTATCCTGGCACGATCTCGGTATCCTCTCGATGCCACGAGATCGCCAGCAAATATAACTCGACTTGGTCCATTAACTGCCTTCTGATATTTGGCTTCTCGGGGATCTTATGGATCTATTTGGTTACGTTCAACCTACGCCTTCTGATTTATTTGGCACGTGTTTCTCTGTAGCGGTGTTCATAGTTAATCTCAACTCGACGCCACGCTACACCATCCTGTGACTTACGCACTGCTTCTTGAAAACTAAAGGACTATTTGTCTTCAGGAATTAGTGGATCACCCTATGCATGATGTTTTATATGCAGGACTCTCATCTCTGTACTGCAGTTGACACATGCAGCTATCAGACCTTCACGTAAAGCATCAGAATCAGAGTTAGAAATGAAGTTGACCATCAAATTTGCATTTAGCCGTTTGCTTCTGTGGTGAGACCATAATTTACGGACAACCTATGAGAGATGCTAAAGTGATTTTGGAACAAGCTGCTTACGTACCAGTGTTAAAAGGGTTTTTGAACTAGTATAAAGAATGCGACAATCTATAATGCCAAAATGCTATTTGTCTACATGAACGAATGAATTTAGCGCCAAAATCTCAGACTTGCTGCCGTTAATTCCGTTGGTTCGTCCATATAACTTAAAGACTTGCTGTTTCCGCGATTTATAATAAAATACCTAACTCTCCAGTGTTCCTGATGAATCATTTTGTGCAATTTCGCTCTTTCACAGCATACAAAGTTCATTCAATTTGAACAACTCAGTAGTGGCTCTTTGAGAGCTTAAAATGGGAGTGAAATATGCCCTTCTGAAAATACCAATTTTTCTATTCAGCTCTAGGCTTCCTTTCCGATAAATGTAAGTAAACGAGACACAATCTTATCATTTCTAAGACTTTTCGTTATCATACTCCAGATTTTGAAACCTTCCATACACTCCAACTATCCAACCACAGGCTCTAACGCGACGCCAATATATTTCGGAGCAATAGAGGTTTGTGTGCTAATTAGTGATACCGAGGACCGTTCAATTTGTGCTCCAGTATCCACGTATGGACCAGTACTCAAGTCAGAGAGGACTGTGAGCACAGTCGAAGGTAAAGCGTTTATGATTCGAACCAGCCGCTGAATAATGTACAGGAGAATAATCGATTACTACAAATGCCTTAAATCCGTCTTGTGAGTTTCGAAGAATACATGGTTCCACCACGATGTAATATAACCCCTGTATATGAAAACCGTCTATTTACCATTACAGAGTGCAAATGATTTAAATGATGTTTACAGTTACAGTTTACTTAGTAGGGTCGTTTTTCACGCGGTAAAGATGTTGATCTTGCAGCTAATCCTCCTACATTACCTGGATATAGGACTGTCAGTAACCATAGGCGGGCTTCACTCGGTGCTATATGGAAGTATTAGCTTCAATTTATTGCTATGAAAAAGATTTAGGAAATTAGATTCACCAACAAGATTTATTTCCGTCTTCTAACTGCAGTAAGAAAATACACAAAAATCTCAATACCTTTCAAATCTCTGAATGAAAAATAGGTGATAAAGCATTTTAAATAGATTTTAGCTTCACGCAAAAGCGCATTTAGAAGCGACTTTCCATGGTCTACGACTGCAGTGACTCAGAATATGAACTACATTTGGGATTTATAGCAAGAGTTAAATCCATTTGGAACACGAATTTAGAAATAAAACACTCTGTGGTTCTAAATCAGGTGAATTGCGTCCAAATAGTAGCGAAGTATTTAAACTGTACGATAAGTCAAATTGCTGTTCAGTCTTTCCCTGTGTTTATGGACTGTATTAGCTACAGTTGAATGTAATGTTTTTCAAGTCTGAACAATGATACTAATTGACCAACTTTTTACATTTCCGTTTCTAATTAACAATATTTTTACATTTCTTGTTTTCGGCTTACATAGTAATAGACAGTAGACAGTCTTTTAAAATTATTTCTGTAATCGTAAGAGAGTTTTTGACCTATTTTATTTCTATAATGTTCTCTGGGCTACTTCAGTACTCGTATGTGCCTGATGTATACATCATTTTACTGAACGAACAGTCATTTCCTACACATAGTATGAGTTAGAAATATGTTCAGAAAACGTTTCTGTCACTACCACATTTGTTAAGCCAGGAAATATAAAGCGCTAAATTCAGACTAAACGCTTAGTCAGTCATTTTTTCCCAACCACATAATTCACTCCATCGTCGTAAATAGCTTTAATCATGTTCCTAAGTGAAAGAAATTTAAACTTTCTATTATTTCAATATTCATGAAGCTAAGTACAAAAATATTATAAACTACAAAATTGAGTTTGTTAAGCAAAATACAATTCATGAAAGACAAGTAGAGAACAGACAGATGTTTAAAATATAATCTCAGCCAAAATAAATCATGATTTTAACTAAAGAAGGAGTTAAGCAAAACTCTCAAGGGCAAAAAGTTAATGAAAAATAAATTTAAGCTGAATATAGGCAGATATCATCAAAGCAGTTGAAGTAAAATAAATAATCTTTTTTCGCAAACGTTTTGAACTGTATTCATCACCACCTTGCAATCTACTAAACTGACAAATAAACAAAATATTACTTCTCCATGAACAGATAATAATTAGAGCCTTGAACAGTGATCATGCGTATGACTACCTGAAAAATCTAATGAAAAAAATACGAGCAGTAAAATAAATAGAATAACATGAAAAGCATTCAATGATACATTAGAAACAGTGTTGCATGATTATGATCTGAATTATTTTTATTCTTTTTATGAGTATACTACGAAATAATTGATATGCAAACTTTTCAGAATATATTTTTCGAATAGTGATAAAAATTCTAACCATATTTTGCATATAGCACTCAATTTTGTATCCTTTTGTTGAGTGACTAGGCTGAAATATTTAGCTGTTTCAAACCATTAAGTCTGATGCACCATTTGATCAGTGCAATAACACAATCTACCGAAAATTGTTTCACGCACTGACAGAAATAAGAAAAATCATCACTAACTTAAAAAGTATAGATATTTTTTCCTTAATCCGCGATGATTATTCTCTGAAAAAACCTTAATACGGCCAAATTTTGATTTAGAAAAGAGAATACGTTACAACAATAAACAACAGTAAATCTGTTGTTGGTGTTGATAATCGTAATATCGTTTCCTCTGAAATGCTAGAGATCAAATGGTTTGCACACACTGACAAAACTTCAATTGTATAATGCATGATTGCCTACCAGTTTACATTTTACTATAATAAAGAAATACTATCATCACTGTTCTAAATATTTTCTAAACTGATTTCCCTCCAATTTTACCAACGAAAATCACAAAACTGGCATGTCTTACTATGAAAATTTTGAAAACTTCATGCCTATATAAGTTTCAGCAATTTACCAACAATAAGAAACAGTTAGTTGAGTCCGGGTGCCCAGACCGAACCAGGTGGTTTTCCTACGGGGCCACACCCCGAGCCTTTGACCTAAAGGTCTAATCCTCAAGGCAGTGGAGCATCGTAAGGAGATGCAGTCTCATGATAGCCGGTGACCAACATTCAGTCCATACGCAATTTTTCCCCCAGGATACTGGAGCCCATGTGCACCATTGGTTTGGAATCCAGTTAAAGTGTCGGACATTCGCTTTCCGTCCTCTCATCTTCGTAAACAACACCCCAGACACGAGAAGGCAGTGGGTAGGACTTCTCTGGCAGAGGCTGTATATGCGTGGCCGTGTGAGAGCATTTCGAGAGGGGAGGCGGGCCCACCCCATTCTCGGCTATATTAGGGCATTTGGGGGCAATAAAAGGTAGTCGACGGAAGTCAATCAAACCAAAGATAGTTTTTGCGAAATAATGACATCAGTTAGGGAATCATGGAACAATGGATAACGTTGTCCTAGTTTCAAACTACTGGGCAGTCCCCAATCCCCATCTCCAGTTCTAGCGGACAGCATAATAATTTAAACGATTGAGTCGGAATCCGGTGGTCACCGTTTCCATCTTTATTCTGTTTTCAATAAAGTGCGACATTCCTTCGAAAAATTCGGGGAAAAGTTTTTCATATCTACAAAAATTTGGCTTCTCATTAGAACGTCGAAATTCCGCCTCAAAGTTTGTCACTATGTAATAAATGATCGATACAAAAGCGCTGTCTAGCTGATGCTAGTCCATGATGAAAACGTTTTACGTTTTGTTTTAAAAATAGACTTTACGACAGTACCTATTGAAAGTTTCGGTATTGTTAGGTGAATAAGCGAACGAATCTTATTTTTATTTCTCGATATCTCCATATGAATCTGAATATTAAATATAGTCTCCGATGTATACACTTAACCATATACTCATAAATTTATAATTGCTTGAAGAAAAACTAGGAAAATTATGTTGTTTAACTGAGAATATATATAGATCAGGCAGCTGGAACGAAATCAAAGACGGGAGATTTTTATCAGTATGTAAACCTTAATCTTAAAGGAGAATAGTATGTATTTTGCGCTTAACAAGCTAATATAATGCAAGAGATAAATATAAGAATAGATTTCACTTATACACATCTATTGGAAACAGGGACATCATTTCGCAAAAAATCTTGTAAAGCCCATCACTGATAAACTAAACGACTCACCGACAGTATGTTACGCATTTCAGTACGTGGTACAGAATTTACTACGAACCAATTACACCTTTTCCTCTCAAAAGAAATTAAAACCTCAAATTATTTGTTATTAAAGGTCAAAAGTTCTTTTCGATTCAGTATTGCCTCAAGATTTATCAGCGACTGATAGGTTGTTCAACTGTGAATCTATATATTACACACCATTGATTCTATGAACCATGAATGAAGAAGCGCACTTTTTTACGACTGACTTTACCCATCATATGAAAACAAACATTTCAAGTGGGATAAACTTAATTTATCACTTAATACATTAATTTTAAATGTGAAGAGATAAACTAAATTATACAAGTCAAAGCCCTGGGGTCAGGAAAAGAAAATAGCCAAGTGTTACTATACAGTCCTTTCAATTTATGAGGAAACGAACATAAATTGCGAAAATTCTGAAGGAGAACTCAGTTACAACTAGTTAAACAGATTGAAGCTTTTCTTACCGTTAGTTTCATCGTTTACTTTATTTTCCTTCAAATCTTTTCCAGATTGTTCATCTTCTAGTTCTTCATCCTCTTCTTTTATCGGTTCACGAACAACATTAGTAGTTGTGGTGTGAGGAAACGAATGTCTATGGTCATCTGATACACCATGTGGACTATCACTTTCATTAGGATAAGTAGACTTTGAAGGAGCTGGTGAGTTTGTACTTGACTTAATTATTGAACAAATATGTTAAAAGTTAGTTGCAAAACTATATTTTTGAGGAAGTAATGAAATGTAGTGTAAATATAGGTGAACATGTATAGCGTTGTTGACTATTTACTAAAATGAATCCTAAATTCATATTTTCATTCAAATATCTGTGTTATAAAGCGTTGGATTAGATAATATTCCCATTTTCTACCTATAACTGATAAGAACTACACAACTACTTCTAGAATTATTTAAACAAAACTGATTGTAACCTTACTCAACATCATTCCTCAGTCTTTTCGATTAGAAGCTTTTCTCTAGGTAAATTAACAGAGAGCGATGCAATCAAAGAAATACTTTGGGTTTTAATCGGTTTCCGATTATCCGAATTAATTATTTACAATAGTTCAGTAAATAACATGAAATATGTTGGTAAAATTCGTGGCAAAGTTAAATTATCTAGGTAGACTTAATCGTTACTTAAGCGCTATATATATATATATATATATATATATATATGAATTTTATCATATGGACGTAACTATTCGTTATTATAAGACATCATTCACAATAAATCAAAATATTTATTGCACAAGATTTGACCATTGGCTGTTTGATAAGGCAATCGAGTACAAATATTTTCATAATTTAATGTATTCAAAGTTTAGTGTGAGTTGAGGTTGATGTCATGCAAATCTAGAGAACAATCCTCGTAAAAAGTGATACATTCCTCATGCTGATAAAACAACATACTTTAACACTGGTATGCTACAAAAGCTGAATATTTTCCGAAAGTCTGTTACATATTTTATGTGATCGATTTAAGTATTGAAAGGGTTCTTATTTCACATTACTTTCTAGAGGGTCTAAACTATTAGCCGCTGAATTTTTAATTCCTTAAGAAGTGATACATGTAGTTTCTGCAAACTGGTAGAAAGTGACAGATAAATTACTGCAAAAATTTACTTATATATTATTTGATTATTCGCTTTCAATATCCAGAATTTAATGACAAGTCTATTGTTTTGATTGCATTAATCGTTAACCTAACATTTACTTGATTCCCTGTTGTCTAAGATCAGTAAAATACAAAGTTACTCAAATATATTCGGCTACGCATGTTTTGAATATGATCTCTAAAAGTCAAAAAGTATCTCAACAACTTGAACGTATATCATTTATGGTCAGCACTCATAACAAACAAGACGAATTACAGCTTCACATGTTAATTGGCATATTTCAACTGTCCTGTATGCAAACTCAATTTAGATTGCAGACCTATTTTAAAGTCATTCTAATTTATGTTACCTATCTACCTTTCATTCGAAAACTCATCACTTAATACTAATTATAATACAATATTCAATTACTAGATTAAAATCACTAAAATAAGGAGATTACCTGTTGAACAGTGAAAATGTATTACTTATTTACTTACGCCAGTTACTCCTAATGGAGCATAGGCCGCCGAACAGCATTCTCCAATCCACTCTGTCCTGAAACTTCCTTTCTAATTCCATCCAATTCTTGTTCATTTTTCTCATGTCTATCTCTATTTCTCGGCATAATGTGTTCTTTAGTCTTCCCCTCCTCTTTTGGCATTGAGGATTCCATGTGACGGCTTGTCTTGTGACGCAGTTAAGTGCTTTCCTCAATGTGTGTCCTATCCACTTCCAGCGCTTCTTCCTGGTTTCTTCCTCCGCTGAGATCTGATTTCTTCTCTCCCACAGTAGGTTGTTGCTGATAGTGTCTGGCCAACGGAGTCGAAAGATTTTGCGTAGACATCTGTTAATGAACACTTGTATCTTCGGAATGATGGCATTCGTAGTTCTTCAGGTTTCCGACCCATACAGTAGAACTGTCTTGACATTTGTATTGAAAATTCTGACCTCGGTGTTGGTTGACAGTTGCTTTGAGTTCCAGATGTTCTTCAGTTGTAAATATGCTGCTCTTGCTTTACCGATCCGTGCCTTCACATTTGCATCACACGCACCATGTTCATCAATGATACTGCCCAAATATGTAAGGTTTTTTACATCTTCCAAATCTTCTCCGTCAATTGTGACTGGATTGGTGCATGCTGTGTTGTATCGGAGAATCTTGCTTTGCCCTTCGTGTATATTGAGACGTACTGCTGCTGAGGCTGCTGCCACATTGGTAGTCTTCTACTGCATTTATTGTTGCGTTTGCGATAGGAGGGCCAGATCATCTGCGAAGCCTAGATCGTCCAACTGCATTCTAGATGTCCACTATGTCCCGTGTTTCCCTTCAGATGTTGACGTCTTCATGATCCAGTTGATCACCAGGAGAGTGAGAGTAGGCAACCTTGAGTGACACCGATTTTTACATCGGACGAGTCTGTCAGCTGTCCTTCATGCACGATTTTGCAGTTTAATCCATCATAGGAATTCCGTATGACTGTCTTCTGAGACACGCCGTAGTATCGAAAAAGCTTCCATAGTGTTTTTCTGTCCACGCTATCAAATGCTTTTTCGTAGTCAATGAAGTTGATGTAGAGTGATGAATTCCATTCAATTGACTGTTCCACAATGATCCGTAGAGTTGCGATTTGGTCTGTACACGATCGATCCTTACGGAATCCAGCCTGTTGGTCTCGTTTTTTCCCGCAGCAATTCGTATGACTCTCCCAGTCTCCCACATTGTACGAGCATTCTATTTACCTAAATTATTGGTTGCTCTGGTAGTCAGACTTCCATAGGAACACAGCTTTCACCATGAGGCGTTGTAACTCTTCTAAATGGAAGACCTTACTACCAGGGCAGAGTTTAGATGGTTTGAAGTATTATCTCTGGTTAGCGTTTTTAGCGAGTTAGTTTTCTATGGGATGAGGTCGCTAACCCCGTGCCCAACCCTCCTTTAACCGAGCTCTTGACCAGCAATAGCTTCAGAGGGGCTCCAGGTGGAGTTTCCTAAAATCCTCCGCCTGAGCTATAGATCCTCTCCATCATCTATACATCGCCTTCTTCGACTGTGAGAAAACGTTTGACAGTGTGGATAGGAGAACCTTATGAAATCTTTGACACTATGGTGTACCTGAGATCATCAACATCACACGGAATTCATGCGAAGGACTACGCTGCAAAGTCGTGGATGGAGGACAGCTGACAGACGCATTACAAGTGTTTATAAACAATTGTCTACACAAGATACTCAATATCTGTCTGCCGGATACCTTCAGCAACAGCCTACTATGGGAGAGAACAAACCAGGTTCCAGCTGAGGAGGAAATCCGGAAAAGACGCTGCAAGGTGGATATGACACGTTAAGGAAACCATCAAACTGTATTGCCAGACAAGCGCTAATTTGAAATCCTGAGAAGAACCTGAAAAGAGGATGGCCAAAGAACACTACGCCGAGAATTGGAGGCAGATATGACAAAGATTAATAACAACTGGAAACGATTTCTCATGACAGAGTTCGATGGAGAATGTTGGTTGGCAGTTTATGTTTTCCCACGAGGAGTAACAGAAGTAAGTTATTTACCTTAAATGCATAAGTATAGAATACAGCCTTTATCGTTATATAAGTAATAAAACCCTAGCATTCGCCAGCAACTCAGCAATAGTTTGTCAATGTATCTGTTAGTTTGTAGACTTCATTAAAATTGGTTGATTGAAACAATAAACAGCCATCTTGTGGTTTAACTTGTTAGTTTCTTAATGAAAGCCACTGAAAGGAGGTACTCGAGAGGATTGCTTTATCACATTTTCTGAGTACTGAAGTAATTTAGTCCATGTTTGTCAGACTTTCGACTTTGAAATCCTGGGTTTCAGTATAATGCATTATTACCCACAACTTATGTCTAACTTATTTATACTCCCTAATACATATTCACAACTCCCGGAGTCCCTCCAGGGGCTACTGCCGGTCCGAAGCCCGGATAAAGGAGGAGGGTTGGGCATGGGGTTAGCGAGCGCATCCAGTTGAAAACTAACTTGCTAAAAAAACGCTAACCAGAAAAATATATTCAAACCTGTTAAACTCTGCCTTGGGAATCAAAAGATCTTCATTTAGAAGAACTATGACGCCTCATGATGAAAGCCGAGTTCCTTCGGAAGTTACGAGGCCAATGCTCCTTCCGAAAACCAGAGCAACCATTTATTTAGGTACATGGAATGTTTGTACAATGTGGGACATCGGGAGAACCTTCCAAATTGCTGCAGAAATGAGGAGATACAAGCTAGAGGTGCTTGAGATCAGTGAAACACATTGGACGAAAGTTGGACAACAACGACTAGCTTCAGGGGGAGTTTCTGTTATACTCCGGCCATGATGAAGAAAATGCCCCACATACACAAGGAGTTGCATTGATGCTGTCCAAACAAGCACAAAATGCACTTATAGGATGGGAATCTCATGGACCAAGGATCATCAAAAGCCTCCTTCAAAACAAAGAAAGAGGGCATTTCAATGAACGTCATCCATTGCTATGCGCCTACCAACGACTACAATGAAGACGCTAAAGATCAATTCTACAATAGGCTGCAGTCAATCGTCGAGAAGTGCCCAACAAAAGAACCTGACCATTCTGATGGGAGATTTAAATGCCAAGGTTGGAATGGACAACACCGGATATCAAGCACCATCACAAGGAATGGATCACTGTTGATACACTGGGTAAGATTCAAGAAAGGAGGGACAAGAAGGCAGCAATGAATACCAGCCGAACAAGAGCAGAGAAAACCAAGGCACAAGCTGAATACACAGAAGTAAACAAGCAAGTGAAGAAGAGCATTAGAATCGACAAACGTCAACATGTGGAAGATTTAGCAATGACGGCGGAAAAGGCTGCAAGAGAAGGAAACATGGGACAATTGTATGACACAACAAAGAAACTCTCTGGAAATCACCGTAAACCGGATTGACCAGTGAAAAGCAAGGAAGGCAAAGTAATCACCAACATTGAAGAACAACGAAACTGGTGGGTAGAACACTTCAAAGAACTCTTGAATCGACCAGCCCAGCTGATCCCACCCACGGACCTCCCAATTAATGTTGGCCCACCAACAATTAAAGACATCAGCCCTGCCCTGGTAGTTAGGTCTTCCATTTAGAAGAGTTACAACGCCTCATGGTGAAAGCTGTGTTCCTATGGAAGTCTGACTACCAGAGCAACCAATAATTTAGGTAAATAGAATGCTCGTACAATGTGGGAGACTGGGAGAGTCATACGAATTGCTGCGGGAAAAAACGAGACCAACAGGCTGGATTCCGTAAGGATCGATCGTGTACAGACCAAATCGCAACTCTACGGATCATTGTGGAACAGTCAATTGAATGGAATTCATCACTCTACATCAACTTCATTGACTACGAAAAAGCATTTGATAGCGTGGACAGAAAAACACTATGGAAGCTTTTTCGATACTACGGCGTGTCTCAGAAGACAGTCATACGGAATTCCTATGATGGATTAAACTGCAAAATCGTGCATGAAGGACAGCTGACAGACTCGTCCGATGTAAAAATCGGTGTCACTCAAGGTTGCCTACTCTCACTCTCCTGGTGATCAACTGGATCATGAAGACGTCAACATCTGAAGGGAAACACGGGACATAGTGGACATCTAGAATGCAGTTGGACGATCTAGGCTTCGCAGATGATCTGGCCCTCCTATCGCAAACGCAACAATAAATGCAGTAGAAGACTACCAATGTGGCAGCAGCCTCAGCAGCAGTACGTCTCAATATACACGAAGGGCAAAGCAAGATTCTCCGATACAACACAGCATGCACCAATCCAGTCACAATTGACGGAGAAGATTTGGAAGATGTAAAAAACCTTACATATTTGGGCAGTATCATTGATGAACATGGTGCGTGTGATGCAAATGTGAAGGCACGGATCGGTAAAGCAAGAGCAGCATATTTACAACTGAAGAACATCTGGAACTCAAAGCAACTGTCAACCAACACCGAGGTCAGAATTTTCAATACAAATGTCAAGACAGTTCTACTGTATGGGTCGGAAACCTGAAGAACTACGAATGCCATCATTCCGAAGATACAAGTGTTCATTAACAGATGTCTACGCAAAATCTTTCGACTCCGTTGGCCAGACACTATCAGCAACAACCTACTGTGGGAGAGAAGAAATCAGATCTCAGCGAAGGAAGAAACCAGGAAGAAGCGCTGGAAGTGGATAGGACACACATTGAGGAAAGCACTTAACTGCGTCACAAGACAAGCCGTCACATGGAATCCTCAATGCCAAAAGAGGAGGGGAAGACTAAAGAACACATTATGCCGAGAAATAGAGATAGACATGAGAAAAATGAACAAGAATTGGATGGAATTAGAAAGGAAGTTTCAGGACAGAGTGGATTGGAGAATGCTGTTCGGCGGCCTATGCTCCATTAGGTGTAACAGGCGTAAGTAATTAATACTACAAGGAGTTTAGAGTTCTGTTCCGTTTCGTAAATATACAAAAGCTCATGAGAAGCACTTAGGATAATTTTTAAAATCTGGGAGGGTATTACAGTAAATTTCATGGTTAGGTAAATATTTACATCGATAATTCGGTTTACTTTCGATATATAAAAATGGAAAGTAATATGTGTGTGAATCGCACGTTCTTAATATTCTGAGCCAGTTAGACACTGTTATTGATCCAAACCAAAAAAATTCTTTATTTTGTAGTATGGCGCCTTTTTGGCGTAAAAGTACTGAATCAAAACATGTTTAGATAGCTGAAAAATATTTTTGATTTAAAACAAATTAGCTACTAGCTTACCATCTGCATCTGTCGTGCTGTGGATAAAGCTGCCATAAGATCGCGTAGTTCTGGACCAACAGGAACACTGAAGATAAACATAATTCGTGTGATTTGTAAGCATCATAAATCCAAACAATAAGTATTTCAGATGCAAAAGCTAAGTACAAATCATAGCAAATTCAACCGAAAACTACAGCAAAACAATGTTGATTTTTTCAACAGGAATTTTTGAAAACAATATTTCCATTAAACCTCAGTGAACATTACAAGTTTACAATGTACAGTGAAAAAATTGTAGTTGAAAAAACAGTCGCTCTCAAAAACAAGCTTGTCTCCTTATCAAAGTTCTTGTTTTTTAACAAATAGATCCTTAAGTTTATCCATTTTCAAAATACTTCAGACTGGTAACCCGTATTACAGTACAAGCCACTTGCATTCGTCAGAATAAAATGTACTATTTTACTATTAGGACTTCAAATTCAGCTATCGGCTTAAGCTTTTGTGCATCAAATCATGCACTATAAAGGATCATTTATTATCAGAAATGTGAATAATCACAAGCTTTGTACAATATTCAGAGTTACGTTAAGTTTTTCCATTAACCTCAAAAAGCCGAGGCACCGATGTAATAAAAAGATAATGTATTTAAACCGAGGTAATATAAGACAGTACAATAAATCATAAAATCCATTTCATAAGCAATAACCAATTATAATTTATGTTCATACAGATCAGTATAAAAATTTACTACAAGTTGAACAATACTGGTATTAAGTTTACATTTTGGAGAGTAAATAAATTATATATATTGTGACTTCTTGAAAGTTATCTTTGATTAGTATTAACACTTTAGTGAAATAGAATTTTAAATGTCAAAACTTCTGATAACATACAAAATCAAATAATGATAGCCAATAAACAGTCAAAAGACTTTTTAAACGACAAGATGATATATTTCAGATTGTTTTCAAAGTATGTATTCTAAGACAAAGTTAATTAGTTTAAGAAGTATTGCAACAATTGTGCTGTTTCGTAAAAACAAAGTTTTAAAATTCAGTCAGAAAAAAAGTGAATGGTTATAAGAATTTTGCAGGAGAACAGTGTATAAAAATAAGCTTTTGTATAGTCATACAGTATGTCATATATAAAACAAGAGCGCAGCCACTTTTAATTTGATCAGTCTAATAGGATGGTACTAAAGAATGAGTTAAAGTCAGCTATGATACCGGTAAAATACATATTGTGAATGGTGTCTAGACTATTAGACAATTAATAAATGTCACAATTTTGAGTTATCATATTTAACCCTTGAAGTGAGTCTTCAACTTAAAGTTCATTATAGAAGAGAGAGTGAAAGATAAGTTTTGTTTGGAATATTCTAACAGTTAATTGCTAAAAATGTAAATTAAACCATTTCTTGTCACAAAGTAGTCAATGTTAATTAAATTTGAGAAACAATGAATCTCATTTCTAATGAATAAATCAAGCGTTGAATCAACCTATTCTTAAGCAGTTAGCCTCTCAATCAAGCAACGTGTATACTTGTTTGAAATTAGAAACTCAAACACTTAAATTTTCCAAAGCTTTAAAAAGATGAACATGTAAAGAAGATTAATTGTAGTCAAAGAATTATTTGCATAGTAAGGAAATCATAAGAGATATAATTATAAAAGTGGTATAATAATCGCTTTCTAAGAAATAACCTATCACCAACAACAAAAAAATATTTCATCAAGTTGAAAGAATAAAATCAACATATTGTAACAGTTATTTAAATCGTAAAAGTTAAACACGGAGTTGAGTGAATATAAACCTCCAGAGAACTGAAAAAAAAAATACTTTTAAGGTTGTGGAACATTTGTTCAAGACACATATTTATATGCAAATGACACATTCTTAGTTTACACTGAATAACAGTATCACACACCTTTTGATTCAACGCACTGATAATCTGAGCAAAACCTAAGTTAGATAGAATGAAATCTTTTGAAAATAAAGCTCATACGACGTTGTAGGAAGTCAATAGTGCACCTTTTACGCAAATATATTTCTTTTTCAAATCTAGGACAATGGTAATCAAATGATAATAAATAAAATTATCAGAAGGGGTTTTATGGAGATTTTAGTAATTTTATAGTTGGATGCATGAACCAATTGAAGTTAGACAAACATGGAAAACCTGGAAGCACTGAACGACCGTTTCGTCCCAGCATGGGACTCCACAGCAGTGCGCACCCAAGAACCCGCCCAGTGAGATCCGAACCCAGGAAATGTCGGTCTCGTGAGCGAACGCCTAATCTCTAGACCACTGAGTCAGCACCCAACGGTGTTAATGTCTAACTTCAACCAATCCACGAAATTGAGCCACCGTCTACCATTGTCTTCAGTGAGTTACTACCTCACAACAGACCCGGTTGAACTCCACTGCTCACTGCTTCTCACAAGAACTCCAGGAAATACCTCTTGAAGCCAATCACCATAAATAAAATACTTGTAAACTTAAGGTTGAAAAAACTTTTCATTAAAAATTAGTATGGACGAAGATGATGCGTCAAGTTTGTTGCACATACAAGACGCTAGGATATTTTTCATTAAGATGGTGTAATGCACTGCATATCACCACAGCCAAAACTTAATTGAATCGTCACTATTGCGAACAGTTTTACTTCATTAATGAACTAAGTGCAACTTAGCACAGCTTCTATCTGCAGTAATATGATCAAGAATCATTTTTATTTAGTCATGTTCAATATTGATTCGAGTATTCCGTCTCTAAGCTGAAATCTGAAATTTGAATAAGTCAAGTTCATAAGTGGAGGGCTTATCTATTTACTCAATTGAACTTTCAAAAGGTGAATGTTTTAGCGAGTAAACATTTTCAGAACAAAATGTAAAATAAATCAGGAACTACAAGAATTAATTGTAAAGCGGTTGTAGGCTGTTTATTTATTTTACTGATTCTTCTTCTCTATTCCCTAAGATTTTCCATTTGCAAGAGAGGAACAATAAAATGAACACTGATGGCATTGTAGTAATCATAATTTAACAGGGCGTTTTTATGTTGTTAACTAAGCCATAAATAATAATTCGACAAAATTCATAACAGGATTTCTTAAACAATTGACAAGATCACACAAAACGGTAAATTTCAAACTTCCAGTCAAAATGCTTAAAAGCCAGATATTTAGTCACAAGTACCCTATGATTATGTAGACTCATTACTCACGTAATATCCCTAAAACACAAAATGTAATCCACCACAATTCGTACATCTCAATAAGTGCACAGCTGGATCATTTTCGCCATAAAACGAATTACAGACCTATAGTTTATTTAACGTGAAATATTGTCTCGACAGTTAGTGAATAGAGCGATAGCTTACAATTGAGACCATAAAACTATCAAAAAATACAAATAAATTCATTGAATAGTACCTACAATTTTTACACAACGCATTAACCGTATAAATTTTAGCGAATACTATTGTAAAGCCTGTTTGAATTTTAATCAAACGACAATATATAGCAACTATCCTACAACCAATTTCGACTATGATTAATTTTGGTTAAGCCCTTTTATTAACGTACTTAACAGGCTGTGTTATTGGGACAGTGACGATTAGCATAATTTTTTGCATCGTTATGATCTATAGACCAGATCACATGACAGACTCGAGCCCAAATGTTGATTGCTTAAATATCACTCGATGACTCATCCTCCTCCCCATGTACGTATGAACTCAAATCCTTTTATTAGCCTTTGCTTTGCCTTACTGTGCCCTTATGCAATTTAACTATAAATTTGCCTATGTAATTGCTTGTATATACTTATTCGCCTCTCCGCTTCGAATTCGCTCGATTGTTCATAGCTTTGTGATATGCGCCATCCACCAGTAAACTGTAGTTGCCGCTTCTCATTGCCTTCTGATTTCAAACACCGTTGAAATTTATATAATAACGGTTACAAGGATGATTGATTGAGGAAGCAAAGTCACTACAAACAATAATCTAAGAGATGGGTGTAAAAAATGGCTCAAGTATGTTTATTAATACCTAGACCTAATGAATAACGGATTTTAGGAGTGAAATAGCTATAGATTAGGAAATGAAAGTAATAAATATACTACTGATTAGTTTGATAATTTCAAGAGACATTTTCACCGTTTTTCTATGATGCATATTATAAACACCGTAGAGCTATCTGTTTCATGTAACCGTAAGGAATATGAGTTTTTTTATGAGTGTGTATTACGTTGCTTCCGAGTAACAAAATGAAGTTGTTAATAAATAGAATATCCAATATCAGTGGATGCATGCTTACATTATAACACAATCCATAAAGCATCATTAAGTTTTGATAGACTAACTAACCTAAAATCAAAAGCCAAAACCTCTTGAATAAAAGAGATGTTATCTAGTACTTAGTGAAAGAACAGTTTTCAGTGACCGTAGCACAGATGGCCAGTTTCTACAGCCGACATACTGCGAATTTCATAAGGCATTAAACATATGATGTTACATAGGGCTATTATTATTTCACCATCTCTAAAACTCCGTTACCCAGATAGAACACCATGGGTTGATTGAAGTCAGGCTTTTATACTATTGGGTTCCGGCTCATTAGTCAATAGGTTAAGAGTTTGCACATAAAGCTAAAGCTCCAGGGTTCGATTTCCGGGTGTGGCGTCGTGCGTATGCACTAATTATTACTTCCACTCCTGGACTAAATGGAAGTCCAGTGTTTCCAAGTTTTAAGTGATTGTCTAACTTAGATGTACATGTGATTTTAATGAACTTTAACAACCTTTACAAATTCATACTAAAAATCCTTTGTGTCTACTAGAAAATAGACCAACTAACTAATTGGAAGCAATAATGTGGTTCTGTTAAGTGATCTCTTTGAGGATATGCTTACAAGACTTTCCTTAAACTAACCTCTTCATCGAACTACAACTTTGTTTTTATGACTCAATGGATATTTTTCGTTTATTCGATCAATTGGTTCGTCGTATAATGTGCGATATGCAAATGCATAAACAGAACGAAAGACGAACAAAAAAGTTAATACTTTAAATCTGGTAATTTAGATATTTCTAAGCTAGAATTATACAGATTCAAAATAAAATGAAGTAGTCTATTTACATTCATAGTTCACTTATTTGAATAAATAATTAATTAGATGAAGATAAGAAAAGAAATACTTGAACCCTTTACTACATATGTAAGACAACATTCGAGTCACCAAACTAGGTTTACGCATATTTTTTGGACGATTCGGTAATAGCGGAGTCAAACATTTAACAGCCACTATTTGTGATAAATCGACAATAAAAGAGCACCGGTTAAGAGAGACCCGAATTAAAATAAGCCTAGTATCATTATAGTATATCGCTGTTAATATACAAAAAGCATAACCATAACACTTCTGAGAAAAAAGTTAAGTAATCTTGTCTAAAGAGTACCACATCTTCAAATGAACATCTCATAGAAATTAACGCAGTGTTCTGTACTTACTTCAGATCATAAATTGACCCTTTCCTTGATCCAACATTTAAACGTTTCGACCGTTCCGTATGGGGAAGTTCTACAACGGATTGTCTCCAATGGGCGTCTCGTACAATTGCGGGTGCACTTGTTCTTACTCCATCTACCACACACCACGAAATCTTCGAAACGAAGATTAAAACAGATTGATAACACTGACCATGAAGTGGAATCATTTAACAGTCAAAGACTGTTCTTTAATGTCACATGATAGCATAAGCTACTGTTACATTTATTTTAAATATTTCATTATATAGACGGAAGCAACAATACAGATTGTAAATTTTAATATATCTGTCAAGTCATTAGACTTTGAGATACCATACAAACACCAAATCAATAAAAAAATGTTATAATTATTTAGAAGAAAAAGTTGAATCAACTGAAAACAAATAGTTGTAGGATTACGTGTTTAGCTGACATCTCAGTTAATCTATTTCAGCCCTTTAGTCTAAAATACACTACACAAAACAGCTCTTTCTTGTATTCAAGCAATCATAAATAGTTTTTTTATTTTTTAGGCTGTGATACAGTTAATATCAAATGGATCCTCAAGACATTAGGCAAAAGATAAAACGAATTATCAGCAGCTTAAATTATCATCTACTTATGATTAATACACCGGTCCTTCTTCATTGCTTTCTAAATTTTAGAACTGTATCGATAAGTGAAATTAATGACATCTGTGACAAACTTTTTAATGTAATTTTTATCCATTTAGATTAAACGTTTATTGATTTGCTGTGTTTTAGCATACTAATTCCTAAAACTAATATCAGTTCACTACTGTGAAAGAGACAGAATTCTTTACGATCAGCAGAATGATAGTTTGTACATCAATTAGAAAGTTCTTGTTATAATTCAATATGTAGGTTATTTATTGAAACATGTTGAAATTTATGAATAAATAGATATACAGATTAGTAATGGGGAATTCTATTGCATTCTAGTATTAATTATTGTATAACTGCCATCATTTATGAAAAGTGATTCATTGGATTAGAAATCATTATATGCTTCATCTTAATTAGTTTACAATACATTATTATTACTGACAAATCTAACTTGAACATTTGAAAGTCACTTCATAAAATGGGATTATGGGTTTAGCTTTTGAAATCAAACTATTATAATTTATTAAAATTTGTCTGTGATACAAAACCTTAGAATCACTGAAATATGGTCGTAAAAGATAGACCTAATTAACGTGCGAATTTTATTTATGTAGCATTTAGCACCTTTGAGTATTTTACATTTTTGCGGCTACTTTGAAATATAGTTAATATTAACTAGTAAACAAGAATTTTATCTGTAATCAGTACTTCTTAAAAATTGTTTTTCCTTATTTCATCATATGTTGATTACGCTAGTGATCGAAATTTTTATGATATACTAGACTAGACTGATCAAAAATAAATAACCGAAAAGCAGTGACTCACTCTCCAATTAAAGTCGATTATCTCATTAATATCAATATCCTCATCATCTTCTCCCATTGGATTCACAAGTGTTTCAGCAACCTGAGTAAGAAAGGTAAAACAATGGGTATTGGAATCGAAGCACAAACATTTTAACTTGGTTATTAGTTCAGAATAAAATTTTATTACAATGTGATTCATTTAAATTACTGTTAACACTGATATTCGATGAGATTATAAGCGATGCATTCAACGTACAATATACATGCTGAATCCAACCATTTAGGGAGTTTTTCAGTTCATTTATTGGATCCTATATGTCATTTTATGCGGTGGAAGATGTCCTCGACTATCTGAGGTGAACTTGTAAACATAATACAAATAGCTGGCTAAACAACACAAATTTAATGAAAGTGAGGGTTTGTAATGAAATATTTAGTAAGAATTACGCTCTGGTAAACAGCACTTAATAAATGAACAGAAAAATGACCGAAAGTGCTTAGTACATCACTTATAGAACAGTAAAAACGTTGTGGTTGACCACAGGCTTGAAATTTCAATTATGTTTAAGATTTGTTTAATTTTTTTATCGTAGACAAACTAATGATTGCCAGTTGGACTATAGTACCTATTTTATCCGTGGAAAAACAGCAAAAGGTAAATTATAGTAGATTTGACACTTTTTATTACTTTTAACTCACTTTTAGCCATCCCACATAAACAAAAAGTTCCAGAAATGTGAAAAACGGGAAGAAAAGATCATGCGAACGTGCTATGCCTGCAAAAGGTGAACTGTTGATGATGAATTGACTACTTATAAGAGACGCGACAAAATAAGAGTACACAGATAGTGTGACAACCTAAATAATTATGGGGAAAAAAATAGATCCAATCAACAAATCCTATATGTCTTGTGTAATATACTTGTGTACGATATCTTGTTAATTCAGACAAACACAAACTTCATCCATGAACTTTAAAAAAGACCTCTTAGTTTATTACAGGTAAAGTTGGCAATAATTCCTCCACACGTGCAGTTAACCGAAACTGATCGCCCCAGCTATTAATCAAAGAAATGAGGTTGTCTGACTAGACGAAGGATTCCAGAAAAAATTAAAATAAACTGCAGAACGTCTGTTTCGCTGTGAATGTCACATGTGTTACAGGTCAGTTTTAACTTTCGTGACAGTCTTCAGTAAAATTTGATTTGTGGATGTAGTAAGTAGCTTAATGGTAGTATTAACAGAAAACTATATATAATAGACAAAAAATATGCTTCGTCCTGATTGTCTGCATAAGAAGGAACTCTCACAACATTATCCACAAATGGTTTTAGATATATAGGTATTGAATGACGTTATAAAATTCTTTGTTTTGATTAAGAACACTGTTTGTTAACAGTTATGACGCTCAATTACAGTTTAATCTCACGGATGATATAAACGCAACTGAAAAATAAGTTATTGGTTAAACCTTCGTCGGTAAATATTTTGAAAGAATTATTTCTGAATAAACGTGGTTATCTAGTTTTCTTTGCATAAGGTCAACTGATACTTGTGAATATAAATTTTCTAGGCCTGAAAAAGGTGATGGGTTCATTTCGTTTATAGCCTAGCGAGAAAATGTTTAATTCGCTAGAAGCAAACTAACATTTGTGCACAAAAAACAAGTACTTCGATTTTCAACTATAGTAGGAAACTTTATCGATCGACTGAACAGACAAAGGAATAAGATGACACTATTACTAACCTGTGTATAAACCAACGGAATACAAACATCATCCATCATCATTATATATAATATTTTTTGACGGAAAGTGTTAAGTTCCTGTAAGAAAGTGGAAAATTAGGAATTTCAGCTATAGACAATACGAGAAAATAAAATGGAAAGAAACTACAATCAAAAGTCTATGAAACAAATTTTTTACCAAATATAAGGAACATCGTTCAGCTATGGTAGTTCCGTCGTCTTATTACTGTTTAAAATTGATCGTAGACCTGATGTTAAAAGTCACCGGATCGTCAAGTGAGATATTCATTGTTTATTAAATCGTACACATCAAAAGATAAAGCATTTGAATTCAGTCACACAAAGAGGACTATAATTGCAAAAATCCGTAACGAAGTGAAAATGGAATTTTAATTTATTATCTCAACTGCATGATTGTATCTTTGTCACAACATTAAGTTTTTTGCATAAGCTTAAATCAATACTGCATTGTTAAGACACCTAGTTTCTCACTATGATGAATAATCGTTTGTTAAAAAACATCAAACTACACACATTACACTATGGCAAAAAAGCACAGTTCTAATGCCAGCAGTTATTTGACAAACTATTTCAAAATATTTATTAGCGACAATAATCAATTGCATTTCTGACGTAGGCTAGCAAAACACATGCACTCACTATGACAATAATGCATTCAAGCACTCTAAAAACTTCTAAATTTTAATTACTTTTCCAATATGAAACTAATAACTAATTTATTGATTGATCAATAGCATATGAGTTTGAACGTTTCACTTCGGATTGAAGTTTTGTCAATAACTTGGTATCCCGCTTTACTGTTAATCACCAGTCGGCGTATATATTACATCCAGATGAATACATGCCATTAAAAAGTATTTCTGACATACACGATCTAAATACTGTAAGGTAAACAGTCAGCCACAAAGGTATATATTTGGTCTAATACTGAGGCTGCTTTAAAAATAGCTGAATTCAAAACTTAAGACTTCCTATGACAAAAAATCTGAGTATCTGAAATTTTTGTCATCTTATCACATGACTCAGAAATACTTATGAGTTATTCTTTTCAAACATTTATGTTTGTCATTTTTAATAAAATCCTTTCAAACTGTCAATTCTTAAATCATTAGGGTTGCTGAAAAACAACTTACGTCTACCAAAAGAACGTATGCATGCGGATTTTTGATTAGTCCTTCTTTTCTAGCTAAAGTGATAAGAGAAGTCGCCCATACAACAGGAACAAATGGTTGCATATGAACAGATTGTACACTTCTAATAATTCTTGCTTCATCCTCGGTAAGTACGCCTGTCAAAATGAAAAGGTGAAATATCTTATATAGTTGCAAACTGATATGGTGAATACATAATTTAATGATGCTTCTTTAGGTAAAAACTAGTTTCAATTTCCGAGAAAAATCAATCAAAAAGTCAAGTGGAGAGTATACAAAACTTTTGAAGGCCTATATCTGATGGTATTTTCCTAAAATTAAAGCATTTCCAAGCAGTTTGTGTAATTCCATGAGGTTACTATTCGTCATACATCTTAAATTCAAAGACAGCCATTGCAGCAGAATACTATGAACTCATTTATTCTGCGGCTTATTTTCATATGCTTACAACCTTGAAACAACAGTATTTATGTTTAAACAGATTTCTGAAAATTTCCACGATCATTGTCCTTTGATAATCCACATCTACATCCCGAACCTAAAACTAATCAGGACTTTTTCGACACAAAATATTTATATTTGTTTCATTTCTATTCATTAGAAACTTAAGAATGGTACATAATAATCCCATGTTAAACAGAGTGATACCACGCACAACCCACTATTAAGTTTCAGAACGCTGCCATTTAAATGAGTTGTGATCTAGATATACCATTTTACAACATTAAATATATTCTATTTGGTTTAATAATTCATAATATTAAAATAGTATCAAAGGTAAACTTTGAGTATGACTACAAGCAAAATGTTTCATTGCTAAATCACCACTGGTTGATCGAATATACCTTCATTTAGCAATAATTTGATGACCTTATTTCAGTCAGTCATTTTAGAACACGATGAATTCCAACGAAAATCTGATTTAATTTATAAAATCTGATAACGGTAGATTTTATTAATTTTTCTGCCAAAATGTCAATAAAAGATAAGTTAAAAAATCTACTTACTAAAGTGAAGATAAGTAATTCTAGCCCAAATGTTACTTGTCGAATTAAAAACGCATATGTACTGCCTTATCCGTTCAGTTTAAGAAGTATATAACTGAATATCTTGAAACATGACCATTTTATTCTAGATGTCAACATTAATTTTGGTCATTGTATGAACTCTGCATGCGTACAAAACATTAAACGCAAATTTATGACCATGAAACTAATAACACACATCTCGTCGTAAACCACATAGTTGAAGAGTATTATGAAATACTGAAAAGATATGTGTACTGACAAATAAATGGAAATAGAAAGGAGACAAGCACTTTTATGACCAACATCCAAAATCCGACCAACGCTAATTTTATACAATAGGAAACTTTTAAAAACTAATAAGCATACCTTGGGCTGAATTTCGGTAAACTACCTTTTAGATTTCTTTTAAATTAGTTACGCTTTACACACAAGTAAGCTAACGGATGAATATGAAGGGTTATATGACTATTTGATGTTTGTTTTTAACACGTACTGACATCAGGAAAATGTATTCCAAGAATAAACAACTCCTAGGTCCATTTACCAATTTCCATTCATCAGGCACGTTTACTTGTGAAGAGTAGCTTGACAAAAAGTTGTATTCCCTAGACGTTTTGTTAGCAGGAGCTACAAGAATTCGAGCTAAAAACCTTCATTTCTGCATTCAAAATAAATTTGTAACACCTCTACCTTTAAAATGAAGAGTATTCTTTTGAATAAATTTTCTTTAAGTTCTACAGATATACATCCAAATCGATAATCCAAAAAGTGGCCAGCATAGTACATCGTTTAAAATTATAACATACGAATTTAGGGTTGTGAAATAAAATAAAATTGTTCATGTTGATAGGAATAATATGCAATGTTAATTTAAATAGGTTTATACTTTAGATGAAATGGTGCTAAGTAGATTGATCATGTGTTCAATAGATTAATAGTGATAGTAAACCAATAATAACAACAGTAATAGTAAGAAGAGAATTATATTATTATATTATACCGTTATATTGTATTATATTTCATCTCAATTTCAGCATTTCATCTTATCATGCTGAGCCTTCCTTTCCCAATTATAATTTCCCTATCTATGTTCTTGATGAATATTCAAGCCCTCAACAATAAAACTATTTTCAGTTTCATAAGCAAAGATGGATGGTGGCTAGCAGTGGAATCCAGGACGCGCGTTTCGTCCTGTTCGGAACTCACCAGCTGTATGTACCTGTAATATCAAGGCAGCCCGCACAGGATGCACATATGCCAACAAGAGACTGATCGATTGCAATTCTAAACAACAATGAGAAGATACAAGCAAACAATGCCAAGTGTATTTTCAGTTTCCCTGATAACAATAGCGTTTCAGTCCATTCTTTATTCTACCTCAGCTACCATGTTTAACAGAATTTTAATATCGCTACTATTGTAATTAATATAAACTTGAAAAATCAGTATTTACTTGCGATTATACAGCTATGAAAATAAATTCACTGAAATGAGAACTCTTCGCTGAACCGATCTTTCTTACAATTATATTTGACTAAGAAAGGTTGTCCTTTAAAAACAAAAACAATTGCCATTCTGATTAAGAAGCCACAACTAAGTGTGCATAAAAGTATCTTTAACCGTTTTTCTTACATTGACGAACCTCATGGGCAATTAATCGATAGCAATCTGAACTATTAAGTGACGTGGTATGACTAAAGTACATACAACCCTTCTTAGTCAAATATAATTATCTTTGTAATATAGATGATAATAATTTTAAATGTTTGGTTTTTAAACCTTTGACCAACTTTCTGTGTATTTTGTCTTTTTACCAGGTTGTTTATTTTTCTTAGATTTACTTCTGTATTCGCCCTCTTACTACCGATTCTTACTTTATTCATTACGACTAATCATGTAGTCCATTTTTATTGCTATACCTAAGTAATAAATTCTCTTGAATAATCTGACAGTTTTCATATATGCAAATAACTACCACCATTAAATGTTTGTTTATGTGTTTTTCTTAAGTTAATTTTACTGAATAATGTATATTGAGTTTAAGCTCAAAAATCTGCCTAAACAAAGATATATTTGTGATATTCCAATGAGTAGAAATTCAGACTTCTGTTTTTTAACTGTATGTAAGCCACTTCTTCAGAGCAAACAAATAAGTAATTAACTAATTTAAAAAAGTTTTAATAGTATATAGAAACAAGGGAGAACATTTAGTTCAATCAAAAATAAAATATGATAGTCTTTTTAGTGATGATAAATGTGTCATTACATATCTGAGCTAGATGTATGACCTGATGGTACTGACAAAAATCAGTGACTCAATATGAAACATAAGTAAATTAGTAAACATTGAAGACGTTAGAAATCTCATGGCCACTTCATTTTTTTATTTGCATAACGTCTCTTCAGAGGTAGAAAGCGTTGAATCTAAGCATGGTTTGAGGGACTTCATGATTAATCTTGTGCATAACGAGATCTGATGCATAGAGTATTGTCATTCTCTGGTAAGCCATCCATAAACTCTAAGTCTCTATCGATTAGAATACTAGTTTATATATATACAACATCATAGCCTAGTATTGTTTCGATCTCTTTGACAGATAATTTCAAGATCTTTTATTTGGAAGGCCACCTCTAATTTCTTTCGACAAGTTAAAAGGATTATTAATAAATTATTTTCACGTGACATTGCATAAAACACGTGAAAAGAAGCAGTTCAACAAATTATTTCGTGCTCTGAATCAAAATACCAGAAATTTTATACTACAGCTTTAGATGTAGTGGACATATGAATATTCATCTTAGAGACCAGTTGACTCCCAGTTTAACTGATTGTAAGCTGAAGCGACGGCTTACACCCTCGGATAGTTGAAGATCCATGACTCACATATTCAAACTTTAGTATTTATAATAACGATGCTGTTGCGACACAGTATGATGTACCATTATTGAATGTGAATAAACACACTACACTAATAAACTCCAGATTTCCTCGGACAGAATCCGCTCTAATTTATTCAGCTAAATTAATAATTCTAAAATTACTTCATATTCGCATATGGGTATCAAAATCTACATTTCATGTGATAAATTGTATCTTCGTACTTCGTGAAAGCTTCATCATGCATGTCGCCATGAATGTGGAGGAGTAGGACATATTGGGGAAAATTTTAAAATCTCCAAGTCGTTTCTAAAATAGTGGGTAATCATTTGGTGGAATCAACTGATCTGGACATAGGAATAGACTTTTTATCACTTACTACCAACTGTGTCAGTACCTTACACATGACCAGTATGGGGAAATCCCAATCATTTACCGTCGATACTGATAACATAGAGTCAATCATCAATTTAAGTAATGAGACTGAAGATATACTATAATAATTACGAAGGTCAAAGTGTCTTCATAAGATAGACCTAAAATATGTATATTTAAAAACTTCACTGGATGGAATTGTAGTGTGCTGCCGATGCCGACAGATATAAGTAGTATGTATCATCAATCAAAAGTGAAATGTCTGGCAGCACAAATTAAGATCAAAGAAAGAGCACGAGAACAAAGAATGATTGATGTGGAATCGAAAGAACAGTGAAGCCTGAGACAATTTATTGATATTTTGCAAATTAAGTATTTACTATATGATTCTCAGATTTTAATAAAATGTTTTGTAATTTTGTGTTCAAATACATTCGATTGTCTCCGCTTGTGTTCTCGTTCACCATAAAACCTCTAGCGAACTGACTTGTTATTTTACAAATTAGGCTATACTGAAACAAATTGCTGCCGTTTGGATTAGGCGTTTCCCGTGCGATATTCCAGGAGGTTGTAACTAAAAATATTACCGATTTTGATGGTGTTCAATCGTATCAAGATGATTTTTTAATTTATGCTGCAAATATTGAATTGCGTAATGAACATCCTTTAAAGTTAGACGGACGCTTTTATGATACAAATATTCTGACAAACTTATCCAAGTCCCATTTCAACTTAATTCTATCAACTCCCCAGGCTATATGAAATTTCAAGGAGTTTCAATCTGATAAGAGTTAGAATACGTTTTAGAAAATGAGAGAAGATACATCACTACATACTGGAGTTCATTTTGTCCTTTGATGACAGAATAATTATCTTCACTGCTCAAAGTTATAGTGCTAGATGGTCTTCACTATGGCCATCTGCGAGTGAAACAATTAGAATAACATGCTCGTTAGATATGATGCCATGTGATTTATACTGATGTAAATCGAATACCGAAAAATTATCCTGCTTGTTTTCACAGGGTTTCATATGATGAAATTACCTGAAATCCTTGGCCAGCACCTTACGGATTGTGTCAATGTATTAACGCCGATTACTGAATTCCATTGAATACTAGTATTATGCTTTATTTGCTACAGATTCATAACTCAGACGGTTAGAAGTGGTACTCATTAATAGTCCATGGAGGAAATTTGCTGAGTGATTAGAGAGAAAGGTATTTTGTGGCGATAGGGTTCTCAATATAACAAATGAACCCATTTCGCACATAAACATTTAACGCACAGCCTAACGATATTGGATACTGTCGTTTATTTACAAATCAACGCCATCCCTAGCTTAAAGGTTCAACAGTAAACATTTTTTAAACCTTGATAAATGCTGTCATATCAGTAAATTGAAGTTGTTCGAAAATAAAAAACCATCAGCAGCGTTTCACTACAATACAAAAACGTAGAGCATTTACAAGCTCGCCAAGACCCAGGTAAAGTTTTCAAAACTTATATACTTCGAACTCGTTCACTGGGCACAACATAAATAAAAGTACATTTTTACCGAGGAAATAAGCATTGACCAACTTCAGGAATTCTAATTCAGAAATGAGTAGCCGGATGATAACAAATCATTACACTCAGTGACTTGAAAGTGGTTAAAGATAAATCCGTACAGTTAGACGTTTTGATGACTTGGTTGTATTAGTATGCAATAGTAGCAGAAGTATGGTTTGGAAGTTATCATGTAGCTTAAAAGCTATATTCTTTTGCAGTTAAGAATCATTAATTGGTACTTCGCTGTAATATGTTCCATTACCCGCCTAATACTAAGCCCTCCAAATTTAAATATACGGTTGTCTGATTTCAGGATTTGTCTGTCATCTGTAGTATGTGAATACAAGACGAAAATATGTCCCTTGATAACTTCAGTCATATTTTGTCATCTTCTTAAATGCAAACTTAGTGGTTTTTATCCTTCAAGTAAAGTTCAGTATACTGACCGAAAAGTCCAATCAAACCAGTGTCTGGACATCCAACTTCTGTACACTGTCACGAAACCAAAGCTACTTTAGAAGCATTCAGTCTTAGATAAAAATAAAAACTAGCAACATTGAAAGCTAATATGTTGGTCAACATTAGTTGACTACAGCCTTTATCACAACATACAGCAAACAAAATAAGTTACCTGAAGCAACAAAAAGCTCAAAAGTTGGAAAACGTTTCTTGACGACGACATTAAGATGGGCAGCTGCAATTATAAGATTTGCCATAATATATCTCATGCATGTCCGACGTATCAGACGATTGCGTTCTGCGCTACCGGGAAGGTGGGTAACAAGAGTAAGTGCGAAACTCATCACCCACGGAATCGTCGTGAAATAGTTCCAAAAGCGTGCGAAAACTAAGGCAACATAAAAACCAAGGATAAATGCAACCGGAATCATAGCTTGGAACCTGGAAGTAAATAGAATCAGACGTTCAAAATTTCTAAGATGTCAGTTATCTATCAATATAAATTGCTTACCTTTGTGCGTTCTCAGAAATTGCAAACCGATACAAACAGCTTATTAATGTATAAATAGAAGCAAATATGATGAGGTCAAGTGAGATCAGCTTCAATACACCTCCTCTCCATCTGAAGATGTTAATTACGGAACGTTTAGTACTTTAAGAGAAGACGGAAAAATATTCCAGGACCTCCAGTAAGGACAAACTGATTATATTGGACAGTCATCAATGATATTTCCTGAAGGTTTTCGTCAAATACCACTGTCGATTTAATACAATGAAGAATCGACAATAAAAACGTAATTGCTCACGACGACGGGAATATGAGGTTAACTGAACTACGGTTCTTGTGAACGGCTTAGATAGCAAACAAGGACTATTTCATCAACAAATGGTTGGAAAAATCAGAATCCCATCTACATTATTATTTAAACGACAAAAAATTAGCTGACGTACTTAGTCAGCATGCGTTTTCAACAAGAATACGAAATTCTAGGCAAAAATGACTGTGTATGCAATCTATAACACCAAACGAACGAAACCGAAAACAAATCCTCTGTAGCATAAGAAACGAAAAATCGCTGTAGAAAACGAAACTAAAATCAACAGTAAAAACAAAAATCAAAAACTGAATCACATTACAGCAGAAACAAACCAGATTTAACAAAAATCGCCCACACAAAACATAAAAAAAACAATACATCTAACACAACACCAGACAGAGTAACTAGATGTGGTCTGACACTTCACTGACCAACACCTCTAGATAAGTGATTGTCACTTGATGTCTCCTCCATGCAACATGTCTTGCAAGACGATTCAGACTGATTCTCGAATCACTCATCCAGTATATCGCTCCTAATTTATTATCTAATCATTTTCGTGCTTACACATATTCTTTCCATTCTACTTGATAATTTAATTTAATAACAACAGCTCCTCCAACCATTTGTCTTTCCTTTCCGATCTGTTCACACCACTGAATTATCGTAATCAATTTTCCGATGACAATTCTGATCCAAACAACAGATAAGAGAGGTTAATCTCCGAATTCTCACGGTTTATTAAAACACACTGTATTGAGCGAACACTGACACCACTTCCAAACGTACATTTCAGTGTTCTGGTGACTCGATCCTGTGGTAGGCGGCAAATAATCATATCCTAGTCAAACTTGTGTCACAAACTCATCGTAAAGGGTTCTGTGTGCGCAAGTTGGATTATTTATGTGAGAACAGTGTCCTCGCAGCTCACATACGAATAACACCTGAGACAATATTACCTTTAATCAATCACTCAGACTTGTGAATTCGGTTAACTATATTTCAGTAACTATCGGTTCCTCACAGTCATACGTGTGTATACTAGTAATCAACCGGTGCTTGCACTATGCATACATACACTTGTTGTCTAATCGATTATCACTTATCTGTAAATTAGTGGGGGGAGGAGATTTGGCACGTCACCGGATGCGACTTATTCTCACTTCGTTCTACTTAAAGCATTTCGCTTTTCTTCAATCACAACAAGTTCTCATCAAGCAACATCTCAGATGCTCCTCAACAAGATTGTTCACTTGATAGACGTCCTGTGAATGAATAAACACTGAATTGGTGTAATCAACTGGTCAAATTATACTACATCATGTAATCTACTTGGTGACGCATTTCACAAACGTGGTCAATAAAATCAACACTACAGTTCTGAGGAGAACACTTGTTCACAACGTGAGAATAATCCAATCAAGTCAGTTCATTTGATCACCTACTAGCCATAATCCTGTCTAAATCTTGAATTGTGAACCTATTTATTCTACTATTTGTCTTAACTCCAATACACTTTCTCCTGGTTTTGTGCTATTAAATATATAGTCACATCGATTATCCCTTATTATAATTTGGTAGAATGTGATCAGTCGAACCGAAGCACTACACACTTTGCAACTTTCTCATCCAACTGTCATTAGCATGAATAAGGAGGTTGGTTGAATCGAGGAAACTTCGATGTCTACAAATATAAGTGAGAATACTACTAACCGATTGGTACAACGGAGAGAATGAGAAATATAATCGCTTTCCACCTTGCAATTCCACACACTACATCGTCACTTAGCAGTAATCAGCTAGCCACAATCGACAGACCGAATTAGTCAGATGCTGTCAATATCCACAGGGAACCTGTCTCCATCAACCACAGTTCGGAACCAACCATAGAATATATTGAGAATAGTGTCAATCCACTACAACACCAGACAGAGTGACTAGATGTGGTCTGACACTTCACTGACCAACACCTCTAGATAAGTGATTGTCACTTGATGTCTCCTCCATGCAACATGTCTTGCAAGACGATTCAGACTGATTCTCGAATCACTCATCCAGTATATCGCTCCTAATTTATTATCTAATCATTTTCGTGCTTACACATATTCTTTCCATTCTACTTGATAATTTAATTTAATAACAACAGCTCCTCCAACCATTTGTCTTTCCTTTCCGATCTGTTCACACCACTGAATTATCGTAATTAATTTTCCGATGACAATTCTGATCCAAACAACAGATAAGAGAGGTTAATCTCCGAATTCTCACGGTTTATTAAAACACACTGTATTGAGCGAACACTGACACCACTTCCAAACGTACATTTCAGTGTTCTGGTGACTCGATCCTGTGGTAGGCGGCAAATAATCATATCCTAGTCAAACTTGTGTCACAAACTCATCGTAAAGGGTTCTGTGTGCGCAAGTTGGATTATTTATGTGAGAACAGTGTCCTCGCAGCTCACATACGAATAACACCTGAGACAATATTACCTTTAATCAATCACTCAGACTTGTGAATTCGGTTAACTATATTTCAGTAACTATCGGTTCCTCACAGTCATACGTGTGTATACTAGTAATCAACCGGTGCTTGCACTATGCATACATACACTTGTTGTCTAATCGATTATCACTTATCTGTAAATTAGTGGGGGGAGGAGATTTGGCACGTCACCGGATGCGACTTATTCTCACTTCGTTCTACTTAAAGCATTTCGCTTTTCTTCAATCACAACAAGTTCTCATCAAGCAACATCTCAGATGCTCCTCAACAAGATTGTTCACTTGATAGACGTCCTGTGAATGAATAAACACTGAATTGGTGTAATCAACTGGTCAAATTATACTACATCATGTAATCTACTTGGTGACGCATTTCACAAACGTGGTCAATAAAATCAACACTACAGTTCTGAGGAGAACACTTGTTCACAACGTGAGAATAATCCAATCAAGTCAGTTCATTTGATCACCTACTAGCCATAATCCTGTCTAAATCTTGAATTGTGAACCTATTTATTCTACTATTTGTCTTAACTCCAATACACTTTCTCCTGGTTTTGTGCTATTAAATATATAGTCACATCGATTATCCCTTATTATAATTTGGTAGAATGTGATCAGTCGAAACGAAGCACTACACACTTTGCAACTTTCTCATCCAACTGTCATTAGCATGAATAAGGAGGTTGGTTGAATCGAGGAAACTTCGATGTCTACAAATATAAGTGAGAATACTACTAACCGATTGGTACAACGGAGAGAATGAGAAATATAATCGCTTTCCACCTTGCAATTCCACACACTACATCGTCACTTAGCAGTAATCAGCTAGCCACAATCGACAGACCGAATTAGTCAGATGCTGTCAATATCCACAGGAAACCTGTCTCCATCAACCACAGTTCGGAACCAACCATAGAATATATTGAGAATAGTGTCAATCCACTACAACACCAGACAGAGTGACTAGATGTGGTCTGACACTTCACTGACCAACACCTCTAGATAAGTGATTGTCACTTGATGTCTCCTCCATGCAACATGTCTTGCAAGACGATTCAGACTGATTCTCGAATCACTCATCCAGTATATCGCTCCTAATTTATTATCTAATCATTTTCGTGCTTACACATATTCTTTCCATTCTACTTGATAATTTAATTTAATAACAACAGCTCCTCCAACCATTTGTCTTTCCTTTCCGATCTGTTCACACCACTGAATTATCCTAATTAATTTTCCGATGACAATTCTGATCCAAACAACAGATAAGAGAGGTTAATCTCCGAATTCTCACGGTTTATTAAAACACACTGTATTGAGCGAACACTGACACCACTTCCAAACGTACATTTCAGTGTTCTGGTGACTCGATCCTGTGGTAGGCGGCAAATAATCATATCCTAGTCAAACTTGTGTCACAAACTCATCGTAAAGGGTTCTGTGTGCGCAAGTTGGATTATTTATGTGAGAACAGTGTCCTCGCAGCTCACATACGAATAACACCTGAGACAATATTACCTTTAATCAATCACTCAGACTTGTGAATTCGGTTAACTATATTTCAGTAACTATCGGTTCCTCACAGTCATACGTGTGTATACTAGTAATCAACCGGTGCTTGCACTATGCATACATACACTTGTTGTCTAATCGATTATCACTTATCTGTAAATTAGTGGGGGGAGGAGATTTGGCACGTCACCGGATGCGACTTATTCTCACTTCGTTCTACTTAAAGCATTTCGCTTTTCTTCAATCACAACAAGTTCTCATCAAGCAACATCTCAGATGCTCCTCAACAAGATTGTTCACTTGATAGACGTCCTGTGAATGAATAAACACTGAATTGGTGTAATCAACTGGTCAAATTATACTACATCATGTAATCTACTTGGTGACGCATTTCACAAACTTGGTCAATAAAATCAACACTACAGTTCTGAGGAGAACACTTGTTCACAACGTGAGAATAATCCAATCAAGTCAGTTCATTTGATCACCTACTAGCCATAATCCTGTCTAAATCTTGAATTGTGAACCTATTTATTCTACTATTTGTCTTAACTCCAATACACTTTCTCCTGGTTTTGTGCTATTAAATATATAGTCACATCGATTATCCCTTATTATAATTTGGTAGAATGTGATCAGTCGAAACGAAGCACTACACACTTTGCAACTTTCTCATCCAACTGTCATTAGCATGAATAAGGAGGTTGGTTGAATCGAGGAAACTTCGATGTCTACAAATATAAGTGAGAATACTACTAACCGATTGGTACAACGGAGAGAATGAGAAATATAATCGCTTTCCACCTTGCAATTCCACACACTACATCGTCACTTAGCAGTAATCAGCTAGCCACAATCGACAGACCGAATTAGTCAGATGCTGTCAATATCCACAGGGAACCTGTCTCCATCAACCACAGTTCGGAACCAACCATAGAATATATTGAGAATAGTGTCAATCCACTACAACACCAGACAGAGTGACTAGATGTGGTCTGACACTTCACTGACCAACACCTCTAGATAAGTGATTGTCACTTGATGTCTCCTCCATGCAACATGTCTTGCAAGACGATTCAGACTGATTCTCGAATCACTCATCCAGTATATCGCTCCTAATTTATTATCTAATCATTTTCGTGCTTACACATATTCTTTCCATTCTACTTGATAATTTAATTTAATAACAACAGCTCCTCCAACCATTTGTCTTTCCTTTCCGATCTGTTCACACCACTGAATTATCGTAATCAATTTTCCGATGA